AATCTGTGCTAGATGCTAGACTACCTGGGTTCCTTTCAAACGCTGGCTCTGTCACGCGCCGGCTCCCTGACTGCATGCAAACAGCTTCCATCTTCTGGTCTTGATTTCCTCACATCTCACACAGTTAAGAAAGTTAAATAAGTCAGAATACTCAAACTATATAGTAAACAGTAAGTATTAGCTATGATAATTGTTAGTATTCTGAGTGTTAAGCAACTGTTAATGATTAGTGTTACACGATAAGCATGTAAAATTCAGGAGAGATGTCAAACAGTACATGAAATGAAGGGTAAGGAAATTGTTCATAAAACCCTAAAACATTGAAGGTTAAATAATAATCCTTAGAATTGGTGAAACCCACAAAAAGCTACTGCAGAACAAAAATAAGCTGACAGATTTTTGTAACCCAAAGCAGCCGTGCAAGAAGAGACAAAGGAAGCTCAAGCAAGCCTGTGTCCCACCCAATAGAAGAAGAGTTCTTGGCAGGACGGAGATCAGAAGATCGTGGTTCTTAACCAGCAGGGAAAAGCCTGACTGATGGTTTTGTAGAGTAACCTTTACCACAATACACTCCAATTAGGTTAGTCTACTACACTTCCTCCAACTCTCCCTATCACAAAACTAGCTATCAAAACAAGCACCAAGGACATAAATGCTCCAGTGCACAGAGGCCTGTCCCAAGTTAAACATTTAACTATCAAGTAAACAGTACTAATAGCAAAAGTATTCTGTAGGAAGACGAGACAGTTCTAAAACTCCTAACATCTGATGCACAATACAATGAAGCACACAAATTCAGGTGGGATTTGGAACAGACCACAACTCAGTACACACTAAATCAGTAGCCCAATGAGAAGAAAGATTATGACCTGTCCTTGAGTATTTCATTGCTTTTCCAGATTTCTATCACTCAGCTCTATAACTTCAGTACCCACTATAGTAACTTACCAATAGCTGGTAACATCTGATTTGTTATTTAGCTGCACAATATTCTAAAAGAAATCATAATCCAAACAGCACAGCATAAGCTTCAGAAGGGCTGACAGCACACTTCAGCAGTGCTGCACACAGCACGGAGATCCAGGTGGTGGTATCTGGGCAAGGTGGGCAGCGTGGAGGAGATTCTAATCCCCAGAACACCCAAAACGTAGTGCATCAAAATATTCAACTTCTTTACATCCCTAGCTTTATATATTTTTTTTTCCAGAAGTTTCTTCATCAGGTTCTTTATCAATTATCAGAGGGCTATGTGTTTTTTATTACTAGTTAAACAGGATTTGTGGCACATGTCAAATGTAGCAAACTGAGTCAAAATTTTATTAGAATACTAAGTATATTGTCTTCACATTGATACCCACAATTAACCCAGACCTATTTTTTATACCTATATGGCTTCTTTATTTTCTGTGTGTATGCATGTTGTCCTGGTACTAGAGCTTGAACTCAGTGGCTTTTTCTGCTCAAGGCTGGCTTTCTACCACTTGAGCCACACCTTCATTTTTGGCCTTTTGTTGGTTAACTGGCAGTAAGAGTCTCTTGGATTTGTCTGTCCCATTAGCTTCAAGCCTGGATCCTCAGAGCTCAGCTTCCTGAGTAGCTAGCACAACAGGTGTGAGTCACCTGCAGCAGGCTGCTTTATTTATTTATTTTGCGCCATTTACACATTCAGAGCCAGGAATCAATGATAAGTGATACAATGTGTAAGAAAAGAAAAAAAAACCCAAACAGTATCGACTTTATTATTCTTACTCCTTTATGGATAGGCCTGTCTTGGGCTCATCCTACTAGAGATAATCACATCATGGCCTAGAGGCCATGGGCTAGAACTCAGTAGATTCCAGTTCTAAACCATACCAGGACCCCTAAGGAACAGCACCTTAGGGACTTCTTGGACTGAACTTCCACAGTTCCCAAACTGGGCTCACTTACTTTCTGACTCCATAAGGACTACCGAGCTCATTTGTGGACTAATCATGACCACCATCCAAACAACAGTTATGCCTGTGAGTAAAGGTTCATGGGCACAAGATGGATGTCTCAATTCTGCCATCTGCCAAGGCCCTTTCCTTCCTTCCTTTGAGAAACTAAACATTACTTTCTCTCAGCACTGCAGCAGATTCAACCATTGGATGACCTCCCCTAATTTAAACACCTTCCCTCACTATTCCCTCCAACCTTTAAATATCTCTCTGAGGAAGAACTTAATCTCTACTCTACAGACATGCTTCTCTAGGCACTGTGCATATGAACATCCCTGAACATACAAAGTTTGTTTTTCAGCAGAGAAGACAGCTTTCAGAATACCATTCTGCCTCCCAGCTATGTACAACTGAATTTCAAAGCATTGCTAGCATGTGTCCAACTGATTTATTTATACTTAAGCCAATTCATTCATATCTATAAGAAATTTGAGTACTAAATCATTGAAGTTCACTAATGACCTAAAACTCATGCAGGTTCTGGTGGCACACACCTGTAATCCCAGCACTCAGGAGACAGACACAGGGAGACTGGGAATTCAAGGCCAGCCCAAGCTACATAGTGAGAATTTCAAAAAATAAAGTCCTAGCAGTAGCTCAAGCCTGTAATCCTAGCTCTACCAGGGGCTGAGAGCTGAGGCTCCAACCGGCCCTAACTGACTCTTATCTCCAATTAACTAGCAAGAAAGCAGGAAGTGAATGTAGGTGTGATTCAAGTGTTAGGGCACTAGCCCTGAGTAGAAAAAGCTAAGAGCAGTAGGCCCTTAGTTCAAGCCACCGTACCAGTGCACTTGCACAAGCACAGGCACACATACAAGTTTAAAGGACCTAATTCAATATTAAGCTGTGTTTGAAAGCTAAGTGTACTGGCCTTCTACCCACAGCTAAAACCTCGGAGCTCTGAATAGGAATTCAGAAAAACCTCACTACCAAATAAACTGGCACTGCTTGGTACTGTTTGTCTATGACTTGGCAGAGTATAAGCTCCCTGAGGGTAGGGACTGTGGTTCACTGTTCTACTTTCAGAACCATGAGCATATACCTTTGCAAATCACCTACTGTATTTGCATGCAGAGCTATACAGAAAAAATAGAAAGCTTTTATCCAGGCTACTGAAATGTACAATATGGCTTACTGCTTTTAAAGTGAGTTTGAAAATGATGGTATTAAAATAGTAAAACTTAGCCAGGCAGTAGTAGCTCATGCTTACAATCCTAGATACTCAGAAGACTGAGATCAGAGGATTGTGGTTTGAAGCCAGCTAGGGCAGGAAAGTCTGTGAGTCTTATCTCCAATTATCCAACAAAAAGCCGTTAGTGAAGCTGTAGTAGGCTCCAGAGATAGAGCACTAGCCACGAATGAAGAAGCTAACAGCCCAGGCCTGGATTTCAAGCCCCAGGACCTGCACCCAATAGAACAACAACACAGTAAAACTTTAGAAACTCAGAAGTTCTGATGCAAACTTAGGTTAGGGGAAGCCGAAAGCAGTGAGTTTAGAGACCTCCGACTTCCAGTTTAATCATTGCCTTTGTTTGCAGAAGCTTTAATCTTCCAATCTACGTCCCCCCAGACTCTTGCTAAAGAACAACAGGAGTATAAGCCGTCTGTCTGCCCCAGGTGAGACACAAGGATCGTTCACAATAAAACGATTCAAACCCGTAAAACAATGAATGGGCCAGTTTCCCAACTCTAAAGCAAAAGAGGCGCGAGAGGAGGGCCCCAAACAGTAAACAAAGCCAACCAAGGGCCTTGGCGAGTCTGCCCCAGACAATAGGAGCCAGGTCTCGGGTTGGGTCAACAGGGGGTGGAGTCTCAGACAGCACCCGGGAGCAATCAGATAGCTGAGCTGCCCGCCAGATGCTGGGGCGAAGCGAGGGTTGGCGGGATCGCGTCCTGAGGGGCGCCCGCAGGACTGGGATGTGGACGGGGAGGGACGTGATCCGAGAAACGGTGCCAACTGCTGTAGAGGTTTCACCCTCAAAGCTGAGGCGATCCTGGCCCCTCACGACCCCCAGGGTGGTGTGGCCGGGGTAACCGCGGCCCCGCGGCGGGCCGGGTGGCCGATCGCGGGACGGCGGCCGGAGAGGACCCCGGGGCCGGGGCCGGGCTTACTTTGAGGAGGCAGCTGTTGAGAGGAGCGGGCACCGAGGTGCGGTGGATCACCAGGTCCTGGCCCGGGTTGTGCACGTCGCAGATGAGCTCCAGCACGGCGACGCTGCGGGCCGTGGACACCGACACGCGGTGGTCTTCCGACCAGGCCAGCGGCTCCAGACCGCTCACCGGGTACTGCAGCTTCACGGCCGGCTCCCGCCGAGTCACCATGAGGCGGAACGCGGCGCTGGGCCCAGGGGCCGCGTCCGCCGCCGACTCCTTCCCGCCCCCTTCGCCCTCCTCCTCCGCGGGCGGCGCGGGCCCGTCGTCTGCGGGCTCCACCTGGACCGGGTCGGCCGGGTCCATCTTCCCTCAGGCGCAGAGATGGGGTCCCCCGGCGCCCCGAGCCCGCGTCGCCGTCCCGCGGCCGCCTGCAGCACCGCAGCCGCCACCCCCAGCGCCCTCCGCGGCGGTTCTCTCCCCGCAGGCCCCGAGCGCCGCCGAGCCAGGAAGGACCCCGCCGTTGCCAGGCAACGCAGTCCTGCCAGGTGGCCGCGGAGCTGCCTGTCTAGAAAGCACGCCGGGCCGTGCGAGAGCGCGGGGACGCGGAGCCTCGAGGACTCCCTCTCCCGGCCGCCGAGCCCGGGGCCTGCGGCGGACCCCGGGCCGCGAGCTCCGCGCCCGTTACTACGGGGAGGAGGCGGCTGGAGCGGCGGCCGTCGGCGGGACGGCGTGCGGCCTCTGGCTCCTCAGAGCTCCGCGGGATCGGAGCGACCGCGCACCTCCGGCCGCAGACGGGGCCCGGAGCCGGCCCGGCCCGCGGCGCCGCGGCCTCCCGGCGCCTCCCGCACCCGGAAGGGGCGGCGGCGGCCGGGCTCGGCGGGGTCCTCGCGTCCACGTGGCCCGGCGCCGCTCGTCTGGAGCCCGGGGCTCGGGCCATGGCCGCGCCCCGCGGCTCGCTCCGCCGCCGGCCCGAAGCGAGGGTCGCCACCGCCGGGACGACCTCCGGATCCCCCCGGGCCCCGGCGAGGCGGGTGAGTTCCGACTGCTGTGCGGCGCCGGTCGGGGCGGAAGCCAGGGGTTTCGGGGGACCGGCGGCTTCTGGGGCGGGAGGCGGCGGCGGGGAGGCGGCGCGGGGCCGGGAGCGCGGGCTGGCCGGCTGGCGCCCGCGATGCCGCGTGCCGCCCCGCGGACCGTCCCTCCCGGGACAGTGACGGCTGGGCGCGAGCCCCGGGCCGGCTCCCAGCACGGGGAGCGGGTCTGGCATTTGCTCGGAGAGGCTGTTTTAAATGGCACAGGTTGCCATCCACGTGCAGTGCAGGAGAGAAAGAAAACGCGATTCGCCAGTGTCTTCCCTTTACTGGAGAGGCGAAGGATGCTTTTACAGTTAACCCAACCAAGCAGCAGAAAGCTGCGTTTCCAGGCTGAGCGGCTCGTCTACCCGAGGAGGACTGGGAAAGTCTGTGTACAGTCGTAAATTACAAACGAACAGGAAAGATACCGTTTGCTGCCAAGGGAGGGTTTGAGTTTTTCTTTCTTTTCTAAAAAGCTGTGTGTGTGATTCCCTTGAAAAATCAATTGTCAGGGTTAGTTAGGGTCCGCCAGGTGTGTTGAACATAATTTCTTGATATCCTATAAACACACTGTCTAAAATACCCACTATTCAGATTCTTTTTGGTGATTTGTGTATTTGTAATAAGCCTTGGGAGTAAGGGGTCTTCTGCCGGCCAATGAGCTCGCCAGATCTGTTTGAGAAGAGAAATACATGAAAGTCATATTGGGGAGGGGGTGGAGGGATGGACAGATCACAGCAGTGGTCTGGAGCAAGGTAGACCTGAGATTAGTTGCCAGTTTTGCAACATACTAGGCATATGACCTAAGGAAAGTTACTTTTCTGATCCTCACCTTACCCATCCTGAAACAAGAAGGATAATTTCTACTTCACATGAGGTGGTTATGAGGATTAAATGAGATAATATATATTGGTGGTCCCATAGAAGCATTTCATAAGTCCCAGCACTTAAAAAAAAGGGGGGGGGGGGCTCTGTTTTGTCTAATAGGTTGCTACACCAGGAGCTCAATAGAGTCTAAAAACTAACATGTAGAAAGCTCTTAACTAAAACTTTATTGGGGAGCTGAGGACATAGCTCAGTGGTACAGCACTTACCTAGCGTTCGGGAGACTGAGCTCTATCCCCAACAGCATCCCCAGACTTAAATTGAGTGCATTAAGTAAGTAAGCATAGATTGTCTTGAGTTGGTGATTGCTTAATCCACCGTATTTTTTATAAAGGCAATACAGTGGCTTTGTGGTTAATGTCTTGAATAGAAGTGGTGGATACTCTGACTAGAAGAGCTGGGAACCTGGACTCAGTGTGTATGCAGCTAATAGACTGGTTTGAAGGGCTCTGACAAGCTAACGTTATGCGTGACATCCTGACACTGTTCAGACTATCTTCTAAGGCTATTTTCTGATTATTAAAGTGACACAAGTTCATGTTAGAAAATTGAGAAAGAAGATAAACCACACACATGATTGCCCTACGCAGAGATAACTCGTTAGCATTTTGGTATGTATCCTTGAAAACCACAGCGCACAATAGGAATCAAACTACATGATGTTTTCCAATCAAGTAGTATGCAACTAATAAGGCATTGGAGCATCGTTGTCAGGAACCTGGCACAGAGGCATAATGCCTAGGAAAAGCCTGGTTCCCTCAGTGATCATGGACAAATGACCTCACAGCTCTGCCTTCATGTACTCTAAAGAAGCTATCAGAGTCTGCAGTAGTGAGATAGACTCCCTGACACACAGTAACTACATAGTATGTTTGTTGAAACAACAACACAACAACTCAAACTCAGGCCTGGGGTTGACTGGAGATCATCCACCATAATCTTCTCCTTTCATAGGTACAAGAACAAGACCTAAAGAGAAATGACTGCTAACATTCAGCTCTTTTCTAGAAAATCCAGATAAGTCCTTGCTTCCTCTCTGCTCACATGCCACCTCAGAAATGTCCTCACCCTCCCTCCCTCTCCTTGCCACAAGCCATGTTATGTTTGTCTGTCTCTTTCTGTCCCCCCCCCCCTTTGCTCCCATGGTTCTTTGCATAAACTTATCAATACAGGTTTGGATTTATGGTTTTTACACTTTTGATCTCTCCTGCTAGTCTGTAGCTTCTTTAGAGGCTTGGCTAATCTTTGAACTGTGTCCTTAAACCAAGGTACTTGACAATTGCTGAATGAGTAAGTTGTAGTTGGGGTTGTTGGAGCAAGAAGGAAACAGTATGCAGATTGTAGCAACTATTATTTACTGCCTGCTTGTTTTGTGCTGGGCATGAACCCTGTAAGGGAAGCAGTGCTGTGCAGCCAGTCTGGGCATTTCTTCAGGGAATCAACAGTCGAATGGGCAAGTAACCGTTGTGCTTATTGTGCTGAGTGCTACAAAGGAGAACACGGAGCAGGGAGGTCAGGAGAGGCTTTTTTGTGTTTTGTATTGTCTTTCTGGTCTTGGGGCTTGAACTTTGGGCTGGGCTTGGGCGCTGTCCCTCATCTCTTCAGCTCAAGGCAAATACTCTACCATTTGGGCCACAGCGCCACTTCTGGTTTTCTGGTGGTTTATTGGAAATAAGAGTCTCTCAGAAAGCCAGGCATGGTGGCTCACACCTGTAATCCTAGCTACTCCGGAGGCTGAGATTTGAGGATCACAGTTCAAAGTCAGCCCGGGCAGGAAAGGCTGTGAGACTCTTATCTCCAATAAGCTACTCAGAAAAACAGAAGTGGCTCTGTGGCTCTAGAGGTAGAGCACTAGCCTTGAGCTGAAGAGTTGAGGGACAGCACCCAGGCCTAGAGTTCAAGTCCCATGACCGACAAAAAAAAAAGTCTCCGATTATCCTGCCTGAGATCCTCAGATCCTAAACCTCCTGAGTAGCTTGGATTATTGGCGTGACCCACCAACACCCAGGTAGGAGAGGCTCTTTTGAGCATGGAATAAGAAAGCCAGTAACTGAAGTTGAGTCATGCTGGCCAGCCAGAAGGAGGCTGGAGTCTTCAGAGCCGGGCGAGGCTCTGTGCCAAGGCCTGAGGAGGGAAGTAGCGTGGTGCTGTCATGGGGTTAAGGCAGCTCACACAGCAACTGGAGAAATGGCTGCATAGGCTTCTAACTGTACAGTTTTGGTTTTAGCCTATAAGCAGTGGGAAGCATGTCTAACATTAATTAGTATGCTTTGCTCTGAGTACTGTAGACACCGGCATGGGAATAAATGGTGACTAGGATGATAAGGTACCTACAGTGTTAGTAGAACCTGGGGTATTGAGCATGAAGAAGAGAGAAGAGTTACGTGGTCAGAAGGACATGTTCCTGAGGAAGTAGCCTATGTCTCTGCAGAAAGCCTTCTTCAGCTTAGCAGGTACTGTTCAAGGAGGCTGATCTTGGCTGGGTGGTGGAAAAGCTTCTCAATCCTCAGACTTGGTCAGGAGCAGGGGAGGCTGCTCCTGTGTAGACTGGCCAGGCCACTTGCCAGCGAACCTGTCACAGGGACCCCAGGCGTGGCAGGGGTGGCCGGAATGGGTGGCCTCTTGTGCCTTTACAGAGAGCATGTAGGTCTAGAAAAATCCAAGATTCACGCTGTTTTCCAAATGACTCAACAGACGTGAAACCTGACTGTCTCTCTTAAAGCTGGAATTCGGGAACTCAGGACTTCACAAGTTTGTAAAGTGAAATCAGCCAGGCATACTTTATTAAGTATTTGAAATGGTGTTTCCTGAATTACTTAGATAAAGGAATCCTTATGGATGTTGGTTCTTTTCTAAGAACTTTTTTATTAGTAGGTTGCTCTGAAGCAGACACTGTATAAGCATAAGTCATTATCTCCAGCAAAGAGGATAATTAAAGTCTCAAACTCCAAAACAGTAGGCAATGGCCGCTTGGGGGATATTCGTCTACAAACTGGAAGAAAAGGCCAAAAGGAAAAAAGAAACCCAACAACCCAAACCTCAGGAATTGGCTGCTTCTGCCAGGGGAAGTTTGGACTTCCCATTCACATTATAGAAATGAACAGCAGATCAGACAACAGGCAAGAAGTCCTTAGTAGTAGATGGCTTGTGGTGGGCGATCAGGCAGGGACTAGAAAGGCAAGGCTGGAAATGGTGTGGTGTGATGAATGGAGCAGCATTCTCATTTGGAATGGGAACTGTGAGTAGGCACCGTCTCCAGACCCTTTAAATCTGGAGGAGCAGCTTGAGGGGAGAGGATGACAGATCCAAGCACAAGGGTAGAGCAGTAATGATGGCTTCTGCTTCCTGGGCATGAGCTGTGATGTGGCATTCCACTTGCCCTCCTGTCTAGTCTACCCTTGCTTTGTTGGAGAGAAGATTCATTTCCCCTGCCCTCTGTTCTTCTCATGCACACGCATTCCTAGGGTGTGAATTGACTTACTCTGTACACTTCATCAGGTGGGCTCTGCTTCCCCTAAAGCAAACTGAATTGGGTAACATCAGCTCAGAAAAACCTTTCCTCTTCTGATCCTCACCCTCACGTTGGTTGACTTCACATTTAAGGTGGATGGTGACCTCCCCCACCCACCCCCACCCCCACCCCCATTTTGGAAAAAGCCATCAAAGAATCCAATGGCAAACTCTGAACTGTTGCTTGGCATATGGGGCATAATGATCTCTGCAGGAAGAGATGCGATTCTGTGGGCAGTCAGGCTTCACTCCGAGGGCTGTCTTCATGGACTAATGCACACCTCCTCTTGATTTTTCCTTTTGGGAACAACACAGCAAGCAAAGGCTACCAAGAGAAAACACCAAGAGTCCAGTGAGGTTCCTCCAGCGAAACGGAGAAGCAGAGCCGCCTTTCTCTCGACGGAAACAACTAGTGCTCAAGAAACTCAGAGGAAGTGTAAGGGGAACTCAAAAAAAATATTTTCTCCAAAGAAGATGGTTAGTAGCACAGATGGTGGAAAGCAAGAAGAAAAGCCATGCATTAAGACCTCGTCACTGTTTAAAAACAACCCTGAGATTCCCCAACTCATCAGGTGCGGGCAGGTGCGGGCAGGGGTGTGCTGGGGCTGAAGGAGCTGCATGTGTCTGCCTCTTGCTTTGCTGACCTTGGCACTGGCCTGGTTTTGTCCATCTTCTGCAGACCTGTAGTAAAGCAGGAGCGAGAGCAAGTGTTCACTCCAGAGGCTTTCCACCAGCTGGACCTCCACCCGCATCTTGTAAGTATCCTTTGTTTCTGCTCTCACTCACCCGAATGAACCCAGATTGACAGGTCATTCTCCCTGGAGAGTTGAGGAATACTCTTCACCCCATTCCCTTACTTTTTTTTTTTTTTCTTTAAAGAACTGGAGACTGTCCTTTACCCAATAAAGTCCCAGACTGCTACTTCACTTACTGAACTTAAAACAACTTCCTAATTACTAGCTAGATTTGGTAAAGTCGTTCGTGATCACAGTGGCCATAAGAAAAAGAACTGAGTTTAGCTTCTTGCTGTTAAAGGATGTGTGAAGTCTTAGAGCTTGATGAAAGAGAAGATTATTATTATTATTATTATTGATGCATTTTCTACAAGCAAATGGACACTCCTCCCTTTTTTTGTTTTAATACCATGAATGAATATTCTAGATTTCATATGAATAAGCAAAGAGAGAAAGCTTCTTTAGGATGGGTTACACAGGTTTCATTTCTTTTTTTTTTTTTTTTCCGGTGCCAGTCCTGGGGCTTGAACTCAGGGCTTTGGCACTGTCCTGAGCTGTTTTTGCTCAATGCTGGTGCTCTGCCACTTGAGCCACAGCTCTGCTTCTGGATTTCTTTTGGTAGTTAAGTGAAGATAAGAGTGTCATGGACCCTCTTGCCCAGGCTGGCTTCAAACCACGCTCCTCAGATCTCAGCCTCCTGAATAGCTAGGATTACAAGTAGGCACTACCAGTGCCCAGCTTGATAGGTTTATTAGAGCAGCGTTTCCCAGTCTTAGTACTAGGATATTGGGGGCTAGATGACTCATTGTTTTGGAAATTGTCCTATGTTGTTAGATGTTTAGCAACATGCTGGGCCTAGACCCACCATGTACTGGTGCCATCTCCTCCCAGCCATAGCAAGTAAAAATTCCTTCAGATACTGCTGTGTGTAGAGGTAGAAGACAGAAGTTCTCCAGTTGAAAACCACTGGGGTGGTGAAACCTCGTCTGCTCAGTGACATCCTAGAATTTTTGGCCCTTTTTTGTGTCTTTCCACTAAATATATTTGTTTTAAAATACTGATTTTTTTTTAAAAAAAGTACTTATTTTCCATCTTCTCTTTCAGATTTCCACACTAAATACAGTCTTAAAAATCTCCAGCATGACTAGGTAAGACTTGCAGGCTACTTTTTGATTTTCTTAGGGCTTCATTAGGTATAGCTAGAAGAAATCCGAATTCTATGTGGAGGGCAGAGCAAGTTCACTTTTATGGCCTTGGAAAGCATCGCAGAGTTAATGACCATACAGACTTCACATGACATAGAGCCTGTGCCCTTCTCCTGTAATGGGCCAACCAGGTGGGTTTCCAGAGAGTTCCGCTCTTGGCTATAAACCAGTGCATACCTGGTCAGAGGACCACTTCTGTCCGTGTGGTCCTGAAGATAGTTTAGTCCTGTGCTTTCTTACTAGTAAGCATAAAGTCAACCAAAAAGAGAGTAATAGATACTTGCTTGGATGTAATGGGTTAGTGGAACAGCGTTTTAAGTGGTTTCCGTGGTGACTCCTAGAAAATAGAAATCATGAACTTAATAATGTGTTCTACTCTAAGAATGGTCCTCCCTTTTTTTGTAAGTAAAAATCAGAGTGTTTAACAACAAGCAACCGATTACCACTAGTATTGGGGGGAAGGAGGGGTGTTTGTTTCATCAGACCAAGTTAAATGATTTCTCCATTGTTTTGTTGCTTGGTTTTAAATGTACATGTAGACAGCTCTTGGTGTGTCAGTGGCACGTGTGTAGATGTAACCCCACGTGTCCAGGACACACGTTTAGATGTACCCTGTGTGTCGGTGGCAGTCTTCTGGAGGGTGGAAAGCTGGGACTGGATGTCTGGCTAGCTTCCCAGCTTCCTTTGTTCTTCTGTGCGGAAATCTTCCTCTGAGTTTTGTTGTGTCCCAAATTCCATGTTGCAGAGGGCAATAGATTGTATAGAATACTTTTATGGTAACTCCACTTTGTTGTTAATGCCCAGTTTTTTTTAAATTTAATTAGTTTAATACAATGACCAATCTAAGTTAAGTTCCAGAAATGGAACTTAACATCAAAAATCTCTAGACCAAGCCAACCCCAGGGCATTTGCATGTCGTGTGCCCCATGTGTCTGCTGCTTGTGTGGAAGAGTGACACGGTGGAGATGAGGTGTGTTCTCTCTTTTGGTGGCCCCAGTGTTCAGAAGCAGAGCATTCCTGTGTTGCTGGAAGGCAGAGATGCCCTTGTGCGGTCCCAGACGGGCTCAGGTCAGTCCCTGTTTGTTCGCTGCCCTTGGTTCTGTGGCACTAGGCCTGTGGTTATGCTGTAGTCTCTACAGGAAGATGGCTGTGGTGCTGGTGGTGGTGGCTGTTCTGTCATGTCGGGTAGAGGGCATGCTGGCTTTCAGTTAGGTGTGTGCACATAGTGGAAGGAAGACTGGTGCTGTGGTCAGGAGCGATGAGCAGGATCTGAGCCCTGCTAGTTCAGAGCTTTGCCTATCCTATAATCTACAGCCAGAGCTGCTTTCATGAGTGCATGCATGCATGTCTGTGCTCATGAGTGCATGTGTGTGTGACCTTGTCTAAAAGCAGTCTGATGAACACAGCCCCTGTCTTGGAACAGAACATTACCTAGACTACCTCTCTGCCCTTGTGGCGTCCTGTCATACACTCCTGCAATCCCAGCCAGGTTGAGAGGTCTGGAAACTTAAAGTTCTGTGTTCAGCAAATGCTCCAGGATGTACCTGAGCACACCAGCACTGCAGGGGAGGTGGGCTGGCCACCGCAGCTCACAGCAGGGTGAGGGAGGACTTACCGAGGCATTTGCTAGCTGGACGCTAGCTGGACAGACAACTGTAAGGTTGAGCAATGGTTGAGCGTTTGTGCTATTTGGGAAATACAACTACCCTTGCTGGATGGATAAAAGATTAGGTTTTTAAAAGGTAACTGAATTTACAAAGCAAAATTGGAAGTCCTGCCAAGCACCAGTGGTTTACAGCTGTAATCCTAGCTACTCAGGAAGTGGAGAGCTGAGAATTGTAATCCAAAGCGGGCCTGGGCAGGAAAGTCTGTGAGACTTTTCTACAGTTAACCAGCAAAGGGCAGGAAGTAAAGCTATGGCTTAAGTGGTAGAATGCTAGCCTTCAGCAAAAAAGCTCAGTGATCAGGCCCAGAATTCAAGCCCCAGGATTGGCAAAAATTTTATGTATATAATATATATGTATTACACACGTATATGTTACACATATCTATGTTATATATACATATTAATAAATTAGGAGTCCTGGCAGACAGGTGAAATTCTTCTTCACCTCCTAGATGTAGGATGTACCATTTACTTTCTCCCAGAAGTTAGAACTAAAATAGCAGAGCCTGCTTCCTTTCTAATTGCTTTCCACTCTTTTAAAAGGTAAAACTCTTGCGTATTGCATCCCTCTGGTCCAGTCCCTTCAAGCACTGAGGTCAAAAATACAGGTGAGTATAAAATGTGCTTTCTTGGGGCTGGGAAGGTGGCTCAGTGGTAGAGTGCTTGCCTTGCATGCCTGAGGCCCTAGGTTCGATTCCTCAGCACCATATAAGCAAAAAGAAAAAAAGCCGGAAGTGGCGCTGTGGCTCAAGTGGTAGAGCGCTCGCCTTGAGCTGAAGAGCTGAGGGACAGCGCCCAGGCCCAGAGTTCGGGCCCCACGACCGGACCCAAAAAAATAAAATAAAATGTGCTTTCTTGCTGCATTCCATGGCGAAGCAGCCACTGCTTCAACTAGAGTGACAACATTTGGGCTAAAAGGAGCTGTCTTCACCGAGCCATGTTTCCTCCCCTGCTTTGACTCTATATGAACATGATGCCTCTGAAGACGCCAGGAGTGGGATAGAATGAACCTCCTTCTAGCATGCTCTCACATGCTTCCATTGTGCCAGCCCTGCACGCCGCTGCCTTCCATCTTTTACCCTCTGCTGCCTGAGTTGTAGGTGTTAACACTGTCTTAGACTTGATACACAGAGAAAAGAGCCAAGGCCACTAGACACGTCCTGGTGGAGCTGGATTTGCACCTCACTCCTGTGTGGCTTCAGGATCAGGCTGTCTCCTTGTGCATGGTTCTTTGCGGGCTCCTGTCCTGTTTAGGGGCCTTCTCTGTCTCACATAATGCCCAGCATAGGACCGCCTGCAACCTTAGCACCAGCTAAGTATCTGTTTGCAGCTACCTCTTGATGGTATTGTCTTGGAAATGTTGGAAACCATGGAGACTTAAATTCCAGCCTTGACTTTTGACAAGGAAGGCTGAACCCTATATTTAAAACAGTGTTTTGTAGCTGCACACTGATGCTCATTCCTGTTATCCTAGCTACTCAGGAGGCTGAGATCTGAGGATCACAGTTCACGATGAACTTGGGCAGGAAAATTATGAGACCCTTCTGTTAATCACCAAAAAGCCAGAAGTGGATAAGTGACTCAAATGGTAGAGTGCCAGCCCTGAATGAAAAAGCTAAAGGACAACTCCCAGGCTCAGAGTTCAAGCTTCGGTACTGGTGAACACAAATACACACACACACACAGTTGAAGTAGGCCAGATACTGATGGCTCACACCTGGTGAATACAAACACACACACACACACACACACACACACACACACACACACACACACACACACACACACACACACACACACACACACACACACACACACACACACACACACACACACACTTGAAGTAGGCCAGATACTGATGGCTCACACCTGTAATTCTAACTACTGAGGAGACTGAAATCTGAGAATCTTAGTTCAAAGGTAGCTTGGGCAGAAAAGTCCATGAGACTCTTACCTCTAATTAGCTAGCAATAGACTAGAAGAGGTAGTAATATGCCAGCCTGTGAGAAAAAGCCAAGCAAGAGTTTGAGACCCTGAGTTCAAGCCACACACACACACATACACACACACAAGATTGAAATAGAAGGATCATGAATTTAAGCCATGCTGGGCTACATGGCAAGTTTAAGGCCAACCTCCACTAGTGAGAGAGCTCTTATTTAAAAAAATAAAATAAAATAAATTGCTAGATACCAGTGGCTCACGCCTATAATCCTAGCTATCAGGAGGCTGAGATCTGAGGATTGGGGTTTAAAGCCATCCTGGGCAAGAAACCGTACACCTCTTATCTCCAATAAAATACTCAAAGCCGCAAATGGCACGGTAGCTCAAGTGGTAGAGTACTTGCTTTGAGCAAAAGAAGCTCAGGAACAGAGTTCAAGCCCTAGGACCAGCCAAAAAAAAAAATTGAAATGATTTATATGAATACAATTTCCCAAGTCCCAATGTAACTCATTTATTTCAAATATTTAGTGTAGTTCCTTGGAGTTTATTGTAACAGGATTTGTCCTCTTAGAACTTTACTGGAACAGCCATAATTTCAAGGTGCCCAGTGGGTTCTTACATTTCCATAGTGGTGGGGGGAGAATGGGCTGCTTTTCTGCATTCACTCTCCTCTACTTATTTTGATTCTGGTGTGTGCGTGTGCATGTGCGTGCCCACCAATGTTTTGGTCGTTATTTGGAGACAAGAGTCTCATGGACTTTTCTGGGTGAACTTCAATCCTCAGATCTCAGCCTCCTGAGTAGCTAGGATTGTAGGCTTGAGCCACAGGTGCTGGGCGTGGCTCTGATTTTTAATATTACATTCATCCTTCACTTACGAGAAATTGTTTTTTCTTCTCTATGTAGAAGCACATTTTGAAATGTCAGAGCCTTCCCATCACATAACGCATGCTGATCTTGTACCAGCTTGTTTGCTGTTGTAGCTTGGGCTCCAGCGTAGTCTCACAAAGTTGCTGTTGAGTAGCGACTACTCCAGTCTGAGTCCTAAATCCTTTCTCTCTGCCTGGGTAAATGTGTCCCACACAGAACATGAAAGCCAGAGCTGTAATTGCATTTTCTGCTAAATCCACCCTTTCTACAATCACATTCTGAGTTCTTCATTTAGCATTTGTGAGCACTTGGGATGTACAAGCCCCATTGGGGCCTTCATCATGTTCATTTGGTTAACTTATTATTTACATACATCTGAAAATTCAAAACAAAACTGACAGTACCGAGAAAAGAATATACAGAGTGAAAATTGGTCATTCTGTGCCCCAGTGCCTCCTCCATCCCTGAAGTTGCAGGGCCTCAGCATGCCGTGCTTGTTTGGTACCTGGTCTGCTGCTCCTCCCAGGTCTAGTCTGTTGTGTTGCGGTGGTTTTTGGATGGACTTGAACTCAGGGCCTTATACACTAGCTTGGCTTTCTTGCTCAAGACTGGTGCCCCACCACTGGAGCCATGCCTCCACTTGTGGCTTTTTGGTGGTTAATTGGAGATAAGAGTCTCAGGGACTTTCGTGCCCCAGCAGTCTTTGAACCTTGAACCTTAGATCTCAACCTCCTGAGTAGCGAGGATTATAGGTGTCAGCCACCAGCATCTGGCTTAAATTGAAATTTTTATGTGAAATTTTTGTCAATGTATGAATGTTATGATGTATATCTTGCTTTTTTATTTATTTATTTTTTAATTGTGAAAATACTGTACAGAGGAGTTACAATTACATGGGCAAGATAATGAGTACATTTCTTATCAAGCATTGTAGCCTCCTCCTTTGTTCCCCCTTCCCATCCCTTCCCATCCTCCCCCCTCCCCCCCGGCCCCCCATATCTTGCTTTTTTTTAAAATATGGTCTCATTCTGTTATCCTGGCTGGCCTCAAACTTGAGATCCTCTGTGTCAGCCTCCTAAGTGCTAGAATTACAAGTACACACCATTGTACCACTCTTGTCTTTTATGATTTCTTACTACTACTACATTGAGCTGCCTTGTTCTTTTTCATGGCTGCTTAGTGCTTCATTATACTGTGTACTGCAAATTACTGACTTATTCCTTATTATTTGGTGAACTTTACGTAGTATAGTATTTTGCTTCAAACAAAGCTATCATAAATATTGTGCAGTGTGTACAATAATCTTGTTTCTTCACACACACGTGTATGTGTAAAAAAAATTCTGGAAGTGGGATTTGCCTTTCTGTTTTTGTAGCCAGTGCTACAGCTGATCTCTAAGTAGGTTCTAGCAGTTTATACTCCAGGAGCCCTATGTGTGTGTCCCTGTCCTCTCTGTCCAGGAGCCATGTGTACAAGTCCCTGTACTGTCGTGTCTAAGGGCCGGGCATACACACATCCCTGTCCTCTTGTGTCCACTAGCAGTGAGTACACATCCCTGCGCTCTTGTATCCAGTAGCGGTGTGTGCACACATCCCTGTGCTCTTGTACATGCTAAGGCATGTATGAAAAGCATCCCAATTATTTAAAGCCATACAGTTAAAGATATATTAGTGATCCAAGCACTGATGCCTCATGCTTGTGATTCCAAGCATTCTGGAGGTTGAGATCTGAGGATTATGGTTCAAAGCTAGCCTGGGCAGAAGAAATCCATAAGATTCTTACCAGTTAACCACTAAAAAGCGAGAAGTGGAGGTGAGGCTCAAGCAGTAGAGCACCAACCTTGAGTGAAAAAACTAAAGGATAGCATTCAGGTCCTGAGTTCAAGCCCTAGCACCCGCATGCGCACACGCACACACGCACACACACACACACACACACCATACACACATACATACATACATATACACATGCATTATTGAATAGATTGTAATAGTGCACAAGGTATACAGTAGTATCAAATTTTATTTTTGTTTCTTTGTTTGTTTGTTTTTGGTCCAGTCGTGGGTCTGAACTCTGGGCCTGGGCGCTGTCCCTCAAGGCTAGCGCTCTTACCACTTGAGCCACAGCGCCACTTCCAGCTTTTTTCTTTTTGCTTATGTGGTGCTGAGGAATCGAACCCAGGGCCTCGAGCATGCAAGGCAAGCACTCTACCACTGAGCCACCTTCCCAGCCCACTCAAATTTTATTTTTAATTAACTTATTATACCAGTTCTGGGACTTAAGCTCAGGCCTGGTACTGCCCTGAGCTTTTGTACTCGGGGCTATTGCTTTGCCATTGGAGCCACAGCCCCACTTCAGCCTTTTTGGTAGTTAATTGGAGATGAGTGTCTCACAGACTTTACTGCCCAGACTGGCTTCAAATTGCAGTCCTCAGATCTCAGCCTCCTGAGTAGCTACAATTAAAGACCTGAGCTCCTGGCACCTGGCTCCAGGTTTGTTTGTTTCTGGTTGTGGGGCTTGAACTTGGCCTGGCGCTGTCCCTCAGCTCTTCAGCTCAAGGCAAGTGTTCTGCCACTTGAGCCACAGTGCCACTTTTGGTTTTCTGAGTGGTTTATTGGAGATAAGAGTCTCACGGACTTTCCTGCCTGGGCTGGCTTTGAACCATGATCCTCAGATCTCAGTCTCAGGATTACAGGCATGAGCCAGTAGCACCTGGCAAGCTTTGCAGATTTTTAAATCTTAGTCTTTGTTGACATTGTAAGTGAAAACTTTCTTTTCATTGTATTTTCAAACTTTGTGTACTGAAAGACTGTTGGTTTTTAATGTGTTAATTTTTTTTCTTTTTTTGTCGGTTATGGGGCTTGAACTCTGGGCTTGGATGCTGTCCCTGTGCTCTTTAGCTCAAGGCGAGCGCTCTCCTGCTTGAGCCACAGCACCACTTCCAGTTTCCTAGTGGTTTATTGGAGATAAGATCTCATAGACATTTCCTGACTGGCCTGGCTTTGAACCACGATCCTTAGATCTCAGCCCCCGGAGTAGCTAGGATTACAGGTGTGAGCCACCGGCACCCATCTTTGTTTTTTTGTTGGGGGGGGAGGGTCCGGTTGTGGGGCCTGAACTCTGGGCCTGGGCGCTGTCCCTCAGCTCTTCAGCTCAAGGCTAGCGCTCTACCACTTGAGCCACAGCTCCACTTCTGGATTTTTTTCTTTTTTCTTATGTGGTGCTAAGGAATCGAACCCAGGGCCTCATGCATGCAAGGCAAGCGCTCTACCACTGAGCCACCTTCCCAGCCCCAACCGGCACTCATCTTTATGTGTTAATTTTACATTCAGCTACTTGACTGAAATACATTTTTATAGTACCATCTCAATTGTTTCTCTTGAGTTTTATTTATTTTTTCCTCTTGAAGTAACATCATTCACTGGTGATCATTTTGCCTCCTTTCCAAATATATACAGCCTATGTCTTCCTCTTGTGTGGTTGCAGGGGCCAGGCCTACTTGAATAATGTTACATAGCTGTGGGGATGATGGCAGCAGTGTTGTTGTTGTTGTTGTTGTTACCGATCCTGGGGCTTGAACTCAGGGCGTGGGCACTGTCCCTGAGCCTCTCTGTCTCAAGGCTAGTGCTCTGCCACTTGAGCCACAGCACTATTTCCAGCTTTTTCTGCTCATGTCGTACTCAGGAATCGAACCCAGGGTTTCATGCATGCTAGGCAAGCTCTCTTCCACTAAGCCTCATTCCCAGCCGATGGCAGCATTTTTATCTCATCTTTTCCTTCTGTGAAATGCTTCTGGTGTTTTGTAGCTAAAGTTCATCCATCTGGAATGTAGACTTGGTAGGCCCCACTCATGGTGTGTTTCTTTCTTCTGTTAACAGCGAAGTGACGGCCCCTATGCTCTGGTCCTTGTGCCCACGAGAGAGGTAAGTAGCTCACTTACTTTCAGTGATGCCTATTGACGTCAAGCGCTTACCGCTTTTCTCCCTTCTACAACATAACCACTACAGCACTGTGTGCTTTGATGGGAGCCCTCCTGCTGCTTCCTCTCAAAGAGAAAAACTAAAATACTCCTTGAAAATCATAAGCTGAATATGGAAAAGTTCTTGCCTGTTTTCTAAAATCTAGTAAGTCTATTAAATTTTGGTACCTATAGAAAGTATTAAGAGAATTGCTCTTTTTTTTTTTTGGTTGGTTGTGGGGCTTGAACTCTGGGCCTGGGCGCTGTCCCTGCGCTCTTCAGCTCAAGGCGAGCGCTCCACCACTTGAGCCTCAGGGCCACTTCCGGTTTTCTAGTGTTTTTTATTGGAGATAGGAGTCTCATGGACTTTCCTGCCTGGGCTGGCTTTGAACCACAATCCTCAGATCTCAGCCTCCTGAGTAGCTAGGATTACAGGAGCCACCGGTACCCGGCTTTTTTTTTTTTAATATACTAGTACTGGAGCTTGAACTCAGGGCCTGGATGCTGTTCCTTACCTTTTGTGTTCAAGGCTAGTGCTCTACCACTTGAGCCACAGCTCTACTTCCAAGAATTGCAATTTTGAGCTGGGTGCCTGTGGCTCACACCTGTAATCCTAGCTACTCAGGAGGCTGAGATCGGAGGATCATGGTTCCAAGCCAGCCCGGTCAGGAAAGTCCATGAGATTCTTATCTCCAATAAACCACTAGAAAACCGGAAGTGGCGCTGTGGCTCAAGTGGTAGAGCGCTCGCCTTGAGCTGAAGAGCGCAGGACAGCACTCAAGCCCAGAGTTCAAGCCCCACGACCAACAAAAAAAAAAGAATTGCAATTTTGCATTTCAAAAGTTGTAAATAAAGTGGACTGAAAGTGTGACTTGATTGTAAGCGTATCTGCCTTCCAAGTACAAGGTCCTGAGTTGAAACTCTAGTGCCACAAAGAAAAAGAAGAAAAAAAAAAGTAATTCAGAACCAAAATCAGTTGGCTCTGAAAAGAAACTTTTTTTTTTGCCAGTCCTGGGACTTGAACTCAGGGCCTGAGCACTGTCCTTGAGCTCCTTTTGTTCAAGGCTAGCCCTCTAGCCCTTGAGCCACAGCACTACTTCCGGCTTTTTCTGTGTATGTGACTGAGGAATCGAACCCAGGGCTTCATGCATGTAAGACAAGCACTCTACCACTAAGCCACATTCCCAGCCCACTTTTTTTTTTTTTAAGCAGCTACTGCTACTCTTTTTTTTCCCCTTAAATTATTTGTACTAGTTAAGCTTCTTGATAGATTTCTTCTTTCTCAGTAGAAATCTCTGATATTTGCCCACAGGAGCATTTTCGATTAGGGCATCTGTTTACTCTATCAGATGTTCATAATCTCCTTACGGAGAATTGGTCACAAGAGGTGGAAGTTCCCGGGCAGCCTTTTTGCCTGCCCAGGCCCAGGAAGGAGCCAGCACACCAAGGGTCTTCCTTTACTGAGCTGCTCCATGCATAGTCCACACATGCAAACTGAGTCTCTTTGCTTGGACAGTAGTGTTCTGTAGAGGCTTTTATGGTGGTGAATGGTTATGATCTACTGATTTTCACTTTCTCTGGTTTTCATTGGGCTGGCTGGGTTTGTTTAGGTTTTGTAAACTTGGGGGTGTAAATTTTAGGGTTATCGACCAGTCGTCAAGTAAGCCATAACATAGTCTCAGGAGGCAGTCTGGCACCTTAAAGCATGCTGTCTGCATGTATTATGCATGCTACATTCTTTTCTGAGGAAAGCTAAGTTTAAGCCAACTGTTTTCTTCCACCTTTGTGCACTGCTGACTTGAACTTCTGTGTGACACACTGGGAATTTGAGCCAGCAGAGGGAGCACAAAACACTATTTTTGTACATGTCCAAGGAATAGATCTGCTGTCTTTACCCTCGTTCCCTAAACAGGCAGGTTGCAGAGCCAAGATACTTTCTGTGTAGATTCTGTGCATTATTTTTCTTAAGTTGTAACTTGAGGTCCAAGTTTGAATCCTAATCCATTTAGAGTAAAAAAAAAAGGTATAGGTGTCCCTGTTCATCACTATACTTTTTAATATTTACAGCTGGCTCTACAAAGCTTTGATATTGTCCAGAAACTGCTTAAGGTAAGAAAAGCCATGAGGTCAGTTTTATATTTTTCTTTCTTTGACATTTGGAGGAAAGACCTAATATATGATACTCTTTATTTTCAAAGAAATAGGAATTCTTACTTTTCTCTTCTCATGTCTCTGCTTTCTGAAGATATAAGTGTGTTGGTTTTTACTGATCTAAACCTTAGTAACTATTGATTTCTAGCTTAACTAAATTACCAGTGTTTCTTGGAGCTTTGAGTCCTATAATCTGCTAATCATAGAGATTTGTGGGTCCATCCCTCAGGTGATCCATGGAAAGTAATAAAAAGCTGCAAGTAGGATTTAAGAAAGAAGACAGAGAAGGTTGTGGCATCACGGATTGCCAACCACCAAATTAGATCTTGGATTGATCTATTCTTTTATTGGGGACAGGGTAAAGATTATATCCTTAGATTTTTTTTTTCCCCCTACTCTTGGGCCTTGAATTCTGGGTGTGGGTACTGTCCCTAAGCTCTTTTTGGTCCAGGCAAACACTCTACCACCTAAGCTACAGCACCACTTCCAGTTTTTCTGTGATTAATTGGAAATAAAGAGTGTCTTTGACTTTCTTACCTGGGCTGGCTTTGAACTGTGATCCTCAGATCTCAGCTTCCAGAGTAGCTACAATTACAGGTGTGAGCCACTAGTGCCCTAGTTATATGACTAGATTTTATCTAAATAATACTGCTCCAAGGCAGTGGGTTTAGTGAAATTTATTTTCTAGGTAGATTTCAGGAGAAAAAGCTAGAGAGCTTGCTACTTAGATCCTTTTAAAAGCTCACATTTGTCTCTGACAGCGTGGAAAGCTATTACAAAGTTACAGTCTCAGCTACAGCTGATGAAACTATACACCAAGCAGTGCCCAGGAGCTTTGTCTGTACCATAGTGCCTCCAGCAGTGGGCACATGTGTCCTTCTGCCTGTTGAAGGACTAGGAACTTCAGTTTCTCTCTGTCTGTCTTTGTTTGAATTTGGTGTATGGTTTTTCTGCAGCCTTTTACTTGGATTGTGCCTGGAGTGTTGATGGGTGGAGAAAAGAGGAAATCAGAAAAGGCCCGGTAAGAGTCTGTTTGTTGTTCATTCCTCTTAGAATCCAATCTTCCTGCCCTGCAAGGTATGGCCTCCACACCTGGAGACAGTCCTGAGCACACCTCTGTGTCTACTGCTCCCAGCACAGCAGCAGGGAGTGCTCATGGCTAGCCATTCTGCTTTTTGAAATACTGAAGACCTACAGGCAGATTGTCCCTGATGTCATTGTCACCGTGCTGGTTCCTTCTCCCTCCCACGCCTGGTCCCCTGCAGGTGCCTTGGTTCAGTTTGCATTCTAGGTATGACTCTTGTGTCCACTAGGCGTTTGAATTTTCAGTTTCCAGAAATAAGATCATGAACTTCCATAGCACTTAGCAATGTGGTAAACATATTGATTGCCAATTGTAAATTGGATCTTCAGTGGATGTTGTTAGAAATTGTCACCCCCAGATCCCAAACTGTCTGTATACTTTTTTAAAAACACTTATTGGAGAGCTGGGTGCCAGTGGCTCACGCGTGTCATCCTAGCTACTCAGGAGGCTGAGATCTGAGGATCTCGGTTCAAAGCCAGCCCGTGCAGAAAAGTCCATGAGACTCTTATCGTCAATAAAACACTAGAAAACCGGAAGTGGAGCTGTGGCTCAAGTGGTATGGTGCTTGCCTTGAGCTGAAAGTGCAGGAACAGCACACAATCCCAGAGTTCAAGCCCCACAACCGACAAAAAACAAAACAAAACAAAAAAGAACACTTATTGGAGCTGGGAAGTTGGCAGTGGTAGAGTGCTTGCCTTGAGTGCATTGAGGCCTTGGATTCCAATCCTCAGCACCACATAAGCAGAAAAGGCCAGAGGTGGTGAGGGACAGCGCCCAGGTACAGAGTTCATGCCCCAGGACTCACACACACACACACACACACACACAAACAAAAAAAATTACTTATTCGTTAGATCAATTCAGCTGTAAATAAAACAGTGGAAAGGTGGCAAAACAATGTAGATGGTTTGCTTTCACATTCAAGCTGTCAGAGGGCAGGCCAGGCTGGCACCGTGCTCAGCGTCAGGACCCATCTTGTCAGGTTGTCCATCTTCTCATGCCCCCATGGGAGGCTTCCATTTAGAAGTTTACCTTTTACTCTTGGATAGTTGCTGAAGCTCCAGCCATTTAGTTTCGTGCCAGCAGAAACAAAGGGGTCAAAGCTCTTCCCCTCAAAGGTTCCTGTGTGATTTGCATAGTCCCTTTATCCTTTCTTCCATTGATGCAACGTAGACATGACTGTAGGTTACTGGAAAGAAAACAAGAAAATGCATCCAGCTAGTTGTTTTTTTTTTTTTTGGCCAGTTGTGGGGCCTCAACTCTGGGCCTGGGCGCTGTCCCTCAGCCCTTCAGCTCAAGACTAGCACTCTACCACTTGAGCCACAGCACCACTTCTGGCCTTTTCTGCTTATGTGGTGCTGAGGAATCAAACTCAGGGCATCATACATGCAAAGCAAGCACTCTACCACTGAGCCACCTTCCCAGCCCCCCAGCTAAAATTTTCATTCTGTCTTTTACTATAGAATAATAGGATATGGTTGTTGGAGAAATAAGAAATTAGACTTACTGTCCATAGTCTGGGACAAAGCTTATGTCCATTTTGTGGAAGTTACCTACAGGGCTTAGTATAAGAAAAAGATTCTAGGCAGTTGCCAGTGGTTCACGCCCTCTATTCCTAACTACTCAGGAGGCTGAGATCTGGAGGGTTATTGCTCATGATCACCCTAGGCAAAAAAAATCGCTAGGCCCTATCCAAAATAATCAGCAAAAATCAGAGGTAGAAGCATGGCTCAGGTGTACTACAACAAAGGGGAGAAAAAGAGGAAGAGAAAGAGGAAGGAAAAGCATTCTAACAATTCTAACACACTATGTAGATTAGCTCACTATGGTAGGAGATTCCCTGGCACAGAAGTCTGGCTAAGTGGCCATTTATCTAAAACATTCTATAGAGCATCTATGAGTCTGAAGAAGAACATTGAGTTACACAGTTCATCCCTTCCAAAGTTTTGTCTTTTTGCTCTAATTTTAGATCTTAATTTCATTCTGAGAGGGAATCAAGCTCAGGTGTATCTTCTTATCAACTGTCCCTATGTTTGCTCTGACTTTAGGTTATATGAAGAATGACTTTGCCTTTTTCTCTTTTGCCTTTTTTCTATGTTTTCTGTAGCCCTGGTTGATTTACCTCCTCTGATATCATTTTAAACAGACTCCGAAAAGGAATAAATATCCTTATCTCGACTCCTGGACGTCTAGTGGATCATATCAAATCCACAAAGAACATTCATTTTAGCCGGATCCAGTGGCTGATTTTGGACGAAGCGGACAGGTGAAGGTTATCTGGGGGCAGGGCAGGTGGAGAAAAGGCTGTGTCCTCCATCTTGGTGGCACCCACTGTAGCCCTTAGCATCATGTTGATTCTTTGTGTAGGTTACAGTTCTTTTCTCAAAATTACAGGCTCTTGGATTTGGGGTTTGAGAAGGACATCACAGTAATACTCAATGCTGTCAATGCGGAGTGCCAGAAGCGGCAGAACGTCTTACTGTCAGCCACACTCACAGAAGGTGACGAAGACATGCTTTCCTCTGTGTGTGTGTGTGTGTGTGTGTGTGTGTGTGCGTGTGCGTGCGTGCGTGCGTGCGTGTGCGCGTGCAGGGGTGCCAGTGCTAGGGCCTGAACTCAAGGCCTGGATGTTTTCCCTTAGCTTTTTGCACTCAAAACTGGCACCCTCCCACTTTGAGCATTTTGGTGATTTATTGGAAATCATAGCCTCATGCACTTACCTGGGCTGACTCTGAACTCTGACCTCAGACCTCAGCCTCCTGAGTAGCTAAGATTATAGGTGTGAGCCACCAGTGCCTGTCCTGCTTTGTTCTTAAGGAGGGAGGACCCAGGAAGAGCTGATTGGCAGCAGTGACCGCTGCTCAGTCTGGGGGAGGGAGGGGAACAGGTGTCTATGGGGACTATTTGTACTCTCTTGCCTTCCTTGCCACCCTCGTGCACTACTAGAATGTGTTCCCCAGGGCCTGGGAAGGGAGGAGGCCAGACCCAGATACGGAGCCACCTCAGGTGGAACCCTGCTGCAGCTGTGCACACGAGGGTGCAGAGGAGGACAGGCTCGGAGGAAGAGAGCCCTGGCTCTCAGGGTGAGGGCTCCTTTCCATGTGTGCTTTGCTCCTCATTGGAAGTGTGGCTTGGCTCCTTTCTGCCTCCCACACTCAGGACATGGAAATTCTTAGCTGTTCTCTGGATGGGAAGATGAAGGCTTGGAAAACCATTCCACTTAACCAACTCACCCTGCGCAGGTCATTGGGTAGACTGCATGCACGCTTCCACGGCCTTCTGTGTGGCTCGCCTGGTTTACCAGGCCACAGAATGAAGGCCCTGGGAAGGCCTGTGTCAGAAGCCTGTAATGAAGCCATTTTAGTTCAAGTTTTTTGTAACTTGACCAGAACATTCTTCTGGAGGGTAAAGGTGGGCATGCACGGGTTCAGATATTCTTTTGGATGGACATCCTTTGGTCTCCCATGGACGAGTTTCATTAGGCTGTGTTCTTCACTAGTGTGGCAGCAGAGCACATCCATGCTTGGCTATTCTTACATTCCACCTGGGTGGGTGCTGTAGCAGTATGCATGTGTGACCAACTTCCTTTGTTCATTTTACTTGTTACCCAAGGTGTAGCACGGCTAGCTGACATCAGCTTGCATAATCCAGTCAATATTTCTGTCCTGGATAAAAGCCATGAGCCGTGTAAGGGAGAGGGCAAAGTGGCCCCTGAAGCCATCCCTCCACAGACGCGTGACGGACAGGGCAGCTTCGCCATACCCGAGAGCCTCGAGCAGTATGTGATGCTGATTCCCAGCAAGCTGCGGCTGGTCTGTCTGGCGGCCTTTGTTCTACAGAAATGCAAGGTAGGACTGCTGCCTAGACCTGGCCTGACCCAAAGAACAGACACGTGTGTTCTAACTCTTGAGCCCATGGATGCAGGCATTAATATATAACCATTTAATTAGAAGCTCCAGAATTACCAAAGAGCATCTGTGGGCCAGGATAGTCACAGTGCTGAACTAGACATCTGACATAAATGCAGCCCTTGAGACTGTTCTCGGGAAGGTTAACCGAGGCAGTGGGAGTGTGCAGGATGGGAGACAAGTGCAGCATTCTTTGTTTGTTTGTTGTTGTTGTTGTCGGTCATGGGTCCTGAACTCTGGGCCTGGGCACTGTCCCTCAGCTCTTCAGCTCAAGGCGAGCCACAGTGCCATTTCTGGCTTTTTCTGTTTATATGGTGCTGAGGAATCGAACCCAGGGCCTTATGCATGCAAAGCAAGCACTCTACCACTGAGCCACCTTCCTAGCCCTGCTTGGTATTCTTGACAGATCCCAATATTGGTGTCTGTGTGTACCAGATTCATGAGACAGGGTGTGGTCATGTTGTAAGATGCTAAGTTGTGGGGCTTGGAGGTGAAGCTTCAAGATGCATTGCTTCTGCAAAGGGCCATACCCAGCACCATTCCAGCTAACAAGCCCAGAGCGGATAAAGGACAGAGCTAAGGCAGGCCTGCGCCTAGAGGACATTCGGTTTTCTCTTTGAGGTTAGAACCATGTCTCTTTCCTTTCATGCGGTGTTTGTACAGTGGAGTATCGATGTTACTCTTCTTTTTAATAATTCAAAGCTGTGTCACCAGTGTCTCCAAATCAGGGCACGTGAACATGTATTTTTGAGAAAGAACTCATTTTGGAGTCACACCAGCTTAAAATGGTCTGCTTGCTTTTCCCCTTTGTATTGGTACAGTTTGAAAAGGACCAGAAGATGATTGTCTTTTTCTCGAGCTGCGAGCTGGTGGAGTTCCACTACAGCCTCTTCCTCCGCACCCTGCTCTGCCGCTCGGGGGCCCCGGCGGCGGCGGCATCAGGGAGGTTGCCATCTGCCTCCTCAAGATTAAAATTCCTACGGCTGCACGGCAACATGGAGCAGGAGGTGAGCACTCCCCTCCCCATGTGGCGATGGGCCCCCCACGCTCGGCACTCCCTGTGTCCCTCACACACTCCACCGACCAGGGAGAACTAGCCAAACATGGAGGGAACCAGTAGAATCCCCCGCCGGGTGGATGGGGTCCTATTGTTCCCGGTTCTCCTGCTCTGGAGCTGGCCTCTTCCACCTGAGAGCTCACAGGCCCAGCCTGGCCTGCGTCTACCTCAGCCAGCTGTTACGGCAACAGTACCACTAAGTAGCTGGCACCAGGGAAGGGTTTTGCCTTTTTAGTACCCAGTGTGTAATTAGGGCTTGATGTCTTCAAATTAAGAGCATTAATGGAGCTAAATTGTGGATCCCATATGGTACTGCTGAGCGCGACTGCTGTCATTGTCAACAAGACACAGCGCTGCACTCAGAGCACTTTGGGTTGGGAGAGGGCACTGCGCACCAGCGGGCTCCAGGTACAGTTCTTTCTGGGCACAGGAAGGTTTGTGTTTGTGAGGAAGAGAACCTCTTCCACCTCCTTTTTAGTATTTGCCTACGAGTCTCATTCCATGGCTCTTAATGAGGCCATCCGTTGAGGGGACGGGGTGGAATATGGCGGTGCGGAGCCCTGCTGGAACTTGGAAAGGAAGGATCAGCAGCTTGGAAATAGCCACCTTGTCCTCAAAGAGAGGTTACTCAGCAGCACGCAAAACTAGAAAGAATGGAAGAAAACCAGAAATCGGAGGTAGATGGACTGGACCAGCTCTTTTAAAGCAAAAAAAGACAGTCGTGTCTGAACTGTTTGTAAACTTGTCCAGCCCTTCTTCCTTGGTTTTAGAAACTACTGAAATGAAGGTGACCTTGCCTTCTGTCACTCCTGATCACAGCTCATTTGCTCCCAGCTCCATGGCAGAAAATTTCATTTGATGGCTTTTTCCTTCAACTCCCTGATTCACCTGAATTTGTTGGTTTCATTCTTTTTGGGGGGCCAGTCCTGGGCTTGAATTCAGGGCCTAGGTCTGTCCCTGAGCCTCTCTGTGCTCAAAGCTAGAGCTCTACACTTATGCGACAGCACCACTTCCAACTTTTTCTGTGTATGTGGTAGTCAGGAATTGAACCCAGTCTTTATGGATGCTAGGCAAGCACTCTACCATTGAGCCACATTCCTGGCCCCTGGTTTCATCACCTGAGTCATTGTTCAGGACAGGTCTGAGGATGACGGAGCTTGCATGGACTGGGAAGCCTAGGACTGTTACTAGGTCATGGGAAGGGTGGTCTGGCTATGTGATCTCATGGTGATGATGCTGACATGGCCTGCTGCAGGTGTGCCCTGTGGGACAGGCTGCTTATTTCTAGTCTTCACTGTCACTGACTGACTGTGGGACCTCAGAAGAGCAATGAGCCTCTCTGAACCTCTGTTGCCACGTCTCTAAAGTGGAAGCAATAGTGATACTATAGTCCTGGGGTTGTGCTGCAGACACAGCCCTTGGTGTAAGGCCTCGCATGCGCCATAGCCTCAGTGGTAGGTGCTGTTATTATTAGGTTGAATTTTTATTTTTTTAATCTCCTGGGAATAATGTAGCTTTTTCATGGTTTAGCAATATTACCATTTAGCCTTCACCGCCTCCTCATGAGCTTGGAGGGAAGGCAGAAAATAGCATCCCTGCCTGTCCTTGCATGTGAGTACCACGGGTAAGTGTCATCTCAGGCTGCAGTGAAACCATTGCCCATGTCCGACGAGTGCCCAGAAAATGAAAATGAGGAGAATACTTCTCACAGGGACGCCTCAGGGCTGGACAGTTCAGTGTGAAAAGCAAGCTGTTGGTAAAGATCAGTGGTAACTCTGTCTCTGTCCAGTCCATTAATCTAGGTGGTGGGGGCTTCCAGTCATATGACAGATAACATGTGAGAGAGAAAAAAGATGTCCAAGGAGTGGGCTGTGCCTGAGTGGAAGGAGAGACCTCACTTTTTATGTTTTTCCAATTTTTAATCATTTGGTTCTATTTGCTGACGGGTCTTCCATTGCTGGCAGTGCTGTGATAAGCACACTCAGTGCTACCTGGCCAGGAAACAAGGAAAAATGTACATAGGAGCCAGGCACCAGTGGCTCCCCCTGTGATCCCAACTACTCAGGAGGCTGAGATCTGAGGATCAAAGCTCAGAGCCAGTCCAGGCAGGAAAGTCCATGATACTCAACTCCAATTAATCACTAGAAAACTGGAAGTGATATTGGGCTCAAAGTGGTAGAGTGTTAGCCGTAAACGTAATGAGCTGGGTGCTGGTAGCTCTCACCTGTAATCCTAGCTACTCAGGACCGGGCAAAAACCTCCATGAGACTCATATCTCCATTAAACTACTCCAAAAAAAAAAAAAAGCCGGAAGTAGCTCTGTGGCTCAAGTGGTACAGCATTCGCTTGAGTGAAAGAAGCTCAGGGATAACCCAGGTTCATGGCTCAAAGCTAGCCCAGACAGGAAAGTCTGTGAGACTCTTACCTCCAATTAGCCCTCCCACCCACCTGCCCAAAAAAGCCAGAAGTAGAACTGTGGCTCAAGTGGTAGAGCACTCACCTTGAGAAAAAAGAAAGCAAGCTCAGTAACAGTGCCTAGGCCTCAAGTTCAAGCCTCAGGACTGGTACCAGCTGCTTGTCTCAGCACTGGTTGTAATAGGGAGAGATTGTAGACAAGATCAGTTGCTAGTAGGAGGGCATTGGTCACTGATGTGATAGCACAGTTAAACTCCATTATTTCACCACAGGGTGCTATGGTCTTTGGGTAGTTATTGGCATGAAAAGGTGCTTGTGGGGCTGGGAAGGTGGCTCAGTGGTAGAGCGCATGCCTTGCATGCATGAGGCCCTAGGTTCAATTCCTCAGCACCACATAAGCAGAAAAGGCTGGAAGTGGCACCGTGATTCAAGTGGTAAAGCGCTGTCCTTAAGCTGAAGACCTCAGGAACAGCGCCAGGCCAAGTTCAGGCCCCACAACCAACTAAAAAAAACAGAAAGAAAGAAAAAAGTGCTTGTGTTCAATTAATAGATAATAAAAGCACATTACTAGAACAAATGTTCAGGAGGCTGAGATTTGAGGATGGCGGTTCAAAGCCAGTCAGGGCAGAAAAGTCCATGAGACTCTTATCTCCAGTAAACCACCAGAAAACCGGAAGTGGCGCTGTGGCTCAAGTGGTAGAGCACTAGCCTTGAGCTGAAGTCTACTTTTTCTACAACTGAATGTCATTTTAATAAATCAAATCAGATATACAGAGTTTCATTCAGTTTTTTTTTTTTTAATAAGTTTTATAGCAGGGTACTAGTGGCTCCTGCCTATAAACCTAACTACTCAGAAGTCTGAGATCCGCGGACCACTGTTCAAAGCTGGCCCAGGCAGAACAGCCCATGAGACTCTTACCTCCAATTAACTAGCAAAAAGCTGGAAGTAGAGGTATAGCTCAAGTAATAGAGCACCAGCCTTAAGCAAAGAAGCTAAGGGACAGTGCTCAAACCCTGAGTTCAAACCCCAGTACTGGCACAAAATAAATAATAAAAATAATTTTAAAAAACAAAAGTTTTGGGCTGGGAAGGTGGCTCAGTGGTAGAGCGCTTGCCTTGTATGCATGAGGTCCTGGGTTCGATTCCTCAGCACCACATAAGCAAAAAGAATAAAGCTGGAAGTGGTGCTGTGGCTCAAATGGTAGAGTGCTAGCCTTGAGCTGAAGAGCTGAGGGACAGCACCTAGGCCCAGAGTTCAGGCCCCATGACCGGACCCAAAAAAAAAACCAAAAAACAAAAAACAAAAGTTTTGCCCTGTAAGAAAACAGTTGATGCTTCTTCGTTCCTCTCAATCATTTGTGATGTGGGGCCTTGGTCCCCTGCTCATCCTATGAGCTGTTTGCGAGCAAGGTGCCTCACCCTACAATGAATGGTTGAAGCTTGCTACCATGAGAACTCGGTTTCTTCACCGTCATCTCCAGGATCCAGTCTGTGAGCACAGAGGCTTTATAGAACATGGTAGAATCTGCTTCTTCCTCTTTCCTGTCAGGCTACTCTATACCTGAAAGCAGCTACTGCAATAGAAAAGCAGAAAAGCCATGGAAATCTAAGCCTACCGTGCTGGAGTTTGTCTCAGTCTGTAAGACCTTTTTTCACCTTGTTTTTGCAGGAGAGAACAGCAGTGTTTCAGGAATTCTCCCATGCCCAAACAGGTGTCCTCCTCTGCACGGTATGTGTCCGTCACTCTGCTCCACCTGAAGGTTGGTTTCTGTAATGGTGGTTGTCATGTTCAGTTTCTTGACTGTTCTGTGTCCAGCCCCCCAGAGAGCTGGAATATTAGGGGCTAGTGGTGTGGCTGGTTTCTCCACACCTCTGGCTTGTCACCTGCCTGCCACCCAGAGCTGGCTGCCACTGCAGAAGACTTGGCAATTTGCTCACTAATAGTGGCAGCTGTTAGTCTGAAAAGGTGTGAATCTTAGCAGTTTCTAGCCACCAAAAACTTGTAAATTACAGCTATCGGGAGTAATTAGAGCTGAGAAAGTCTTTCCACTACAAAATGACCCTGCTTGCCTCTGCTCACCCTGAAGGATGGTAGCTGCACTGGAGTATCTGTTGGATTTAGGTGAAAGTGTCATTTGCCCTGCAGTTTTCAGGACCAGTTCATCTTGCTTTGCAGCTTCTGCAGCACAGCGCTGACCTTGCACATCTCTGGTGCTCTTTCAAGACTGAAAGCTCACCCTCCAGTGGTCTTCCCATCGCCACTGTTGCCTCCCCTCCCCAGGTTAGAATATCTTCTCTGCCTGTGCAGCATGAACCTGAGGGGTTATTGGAGATGCTCCTGTATATGTAATAATGATACCTCAGAGACAAAGACTTAACTATCTGAATGCCTCATTTAACATAGCTCTTTTTTTTTTTTTTTTGGTCAGTTATGGGGCTTGAACTCTGGGCCTGGGTGCTGTCCCTCAGCTCTTCAGCTCAAGCGCTCTACCACTTGAGCCACAGTGCCACTTCCAGCTTTTTCTATTTATGTGGTGCTGAGGAATCGAACCCAGGGCCTCATACATGTGAGGCAGGCACTCTACCACTGAGCCACCTGCACAGCCTCTAACATAGCTACTTCCTAAGGTACTGTTACCTGTTCAGTTTTAAAGGTAAGGTCAGCTCTGTGTGTGTGTGTGTGTGTGCGTGCACTCGCGTGCACGTGTGTACGTGCACGTGTGTGCATGTATGCATGTGCATGCATGCACACACAGGCTCTTCTACAATAAAGCCTGCATGGAAGCCGTCTTATTGCTGTGACAGAGGAACTCTGCTGCCCAGGCACCGTTCATCCCTGAGGGCAGTCTATCCTAGATACTTGCTTCCTAAGGAGACTGGCTTCTAAGCAAGTAGCCCTTCCCTTTGTGAAGCCAGCCCATAAGTCAGGCACTTGTGTTCTAAACCATATTACAATTCCTAAAGTGAAGATTAAATCCAAGTATCTGCTTGAAAAGGAAATTGTCAATATCCTTATCTTCAGCAATGAGGTTCTTCTGGAACTTGACACCTTCCTGTTGCCTCTCACCCCACCTCCTTCTTGCTGTCTAGCCTGGAGCTCTACAGGTCCCTCATTCAGTTCCCTAAATGTGTCATTCAGGCTTTTTCTACCCTAAGCCTTTGTATATGCTCTTCCTTCTCTTGAAAAACCTACCCTGACTTTGACTAGCTCTCACTTGGACTCAGCTTTCCTTCACATTCCCAGAAAATGAACCCTAAACCCGGTTCTTCCTGGTCAGGCATGCGTGTTGCAGACGGCACTTCTGCCTTGAGCGCACCTGCTATAGATGCCATCGTGTCAGATTGTGTGTTGAGGCCTGTAGTGCTGGGGACTAGGAGTTGGTTCCTCATTAGGGTACCCCACTATCTAGCCCAGAGCCAGCACACAGTTAGACACTCGGCATTTGTGGTCCAGTTGAGTGGAAAGAAGGGGCTCCAGAAGCTCTACGCTGAAATCTGCCAGAGGATGCCTGTTCCTCAGACTGAGCGCTGCTCACCTCTTCATCTGGGATTTCTCCACCTAGGGTTTTCTGAAGAGTAAGTGCTGTAGATTGTCTCTATGGAAACACAAAATCGGAATTTGGGTTAGGGTAGGAACACCCTTCAGATCCTGGAATTACTGGTTTGCAAAAGTTGCTATACTCTGTAGACATAGCTAGGCTGTAGTATCAGAATTCTGAAATTCCACATTTGAGTTACATTTTTAGTAACTATGATGGGAAAAAATTCATTCTTTCTGAGATGTGGTTTTTTGGTTTTTTACATTTTTATTATTATATCTTTAAGTAGTTTACCAAGAAGTTCCCATTCCACAAAACAGTATATGAGTACAAGGTGTCTGACAGCATTGTCACCCATCGCTCCTAGGTGATGACATAAATTTCAGGTTTCACAGTATTATGGTATAGTGATACATAAAGTCACAAACACATTGTAACCTTCACAAGGCAAATTGTCATTATCATGGTGAGGGTGACCACTTCCCTGTTCCATCTGGCTGACAGTGTCACCAGGACAGACAACTCAGTGGTCTGGGGAGAGTACAGAACCCTTAGCCCTCTCCCTACCCCATGCAGAGTGAATGCTCTCACTCACCATCTGATTTCCCTGCCACCTCTTAGTCATGGCTTTTGGCCTCTCAGGTCATCCCCCGTGTGTGGCGTGTGGTCTTCCTGGGCTCACCGTGTCTTCACTCTGCCAAGATTATTGGATAAGGACTGTTTAAGGCTCCTTTCTAAGTTAAAATACGGCCACAGGTTCCCAGTGGTGAGTTCTTCCTAGCCCTCAGTATTTCTGCCACTTCAGCCATGTATTTGTTTGCTTTAGCTCACCACTTCTGCATCTAAGAGCCACACACACCGTGATAGATGGTGCTCAGGCGGAGGAGTTTCTGTCACTGTGTCCTTTTAAGTAGCCTGTTGCTTGCCAGGCTATCTGAGCACTCTCCGGGAGCCTCCGTGGTGTTAATGAGGAATGAGGGCCATGGCAGGACGAGGCAGATGGAGAGCTGGCTTCTTTTGATAAATGGAATCCTGTTGTTCATTGTTGGGTGGGGGTTTTCCCCTCTTTAGGCCATAGCTTTAGCCACTTTACTTTGTCACCCCAAGATCCTTTTAGTATGACCAGAGAAAATTTGGGATGGTGATGTAATCATACAAAAGCCTTTGATGGCACTATGTCCTTCACCATCTGACAGTTTTCTCCCCTGTCTTCTTAGCAGCAATTTAGAAGGTATGTGTATGTTCATCTTAATTATACACATCTTAAAAGCAAGGCCCTTTTGTCATTTCGAGCAGCTTTCTGAGGACTGTTTGGTAGCATTGGACCTGGACCGTGGCCGGAGGGCAGTGGGGCCAGGAGACCGGTAAAAGACCCCTCCTTGCTGTGGTGATATGATTTTGCATCCTCTGGAAAATGAGACAAGTTACGGCGGGGGGGGGGGACTGGAGGGAAGAATTTGTTGGAAGTTCAAGACCGGCTTTCCCAAGTGGAATTAAGATACCAAAGGAATCAGATATGGCATTCAAGTATCTATAAAAATAGTATGTCTTCTTGTTTCTGGGGGAATTCTCCCGGAGCTGATGGAGGAGACCAGACTTCAGTGCCCCTTTGTACAACGACACTCTGCTGCAGTGGGATTTCTAGTCACCTCATGGGCTCAGGGCCAGCAGTAGGCTTTCTCTCAGTGTATTTGTTCTTGCTTGTCCTGGACGGGCAGAGTATAGTGACGTCCTCGGAAAGGAGAGGGTCCAGCTCAGCCTGGTGCTCCTGCCATGGGCGGATCGAGCTCCGGCTCCCACCACACTTTTCGAGATTCATCTAAATCCCCTGAGCTGCTTCCACCTTCTTGAACACGCTGCTGTGTCTGTGCCGTTCTTAATTTCCTCTCCTCCTGGGGAATTTCCACCATGCCAGGCACCAGGAGACAAAGGAGCTGTTCTGGAAGTCACGAGAATGTCAGGTCAGCGCCCTGAACAGATGTAGACTTCTTTGCCTTTCTCTGGGGGTGCTTTTCAGGTAAAGTTTATTTTTTCCACTTTATTTCACTGGTGTTCGTAGAAGGATCGTTTGGAGATTGTTTGATGTTTACTCAGTTACGCTAACTCGTGTTGCCAGTTTTTTGGCGGCTCTAGCCAAGATCTCTTGCCTCTGACAGCTTCTGCACTCTCCCCTTCCTCCTCTGATTACGCAGCCCAATCTGTCACCCGGACAACAGGGGCCTGTACCCTGCTGATGGCTTTCCACACACGGCAGTAATGACTTCTGGCAGGCCAGGAAGGCGTCAGAGGCGAGTTTGTGCGTCCCTTCTCAGAGAGACGGCAGGCCCCCTCTCCCTGTTAGTAAAAGCACTTTGTGAGGTTCTTGGGTAAATAAATGAGTCATTTTAATCCAACTGACAGGCTGGCACCTGAGCAAGCTGCCTTCCATCTGTACTCCTGGGTCTCGTGGAGCCAGCCAGTTGTCGAGCCCGGCCTGCAAGGCCTCACAAGTGAGTGTCTTTCAGAGCTGACTTTAGTGATTCTTTTGCCCTAATTAGGTTGAAGGAATAAAAATGAGTGCAGTCAGACTTAAGTTCTGAGAGCAGAGAGGACAGAGAACTGAATCCTTGCAGGTCTTCTGCAGATGAGTTTCCTGTTCATCTAATGCAGCGAACTGGCAGACTTATAGGAAGTTGGGGGCCTCACCTGCTTCTGTTCTCTGCAGGCCCTGCCCAGGGGCTGAATGGAGAAGGAAGTCCACCACTGAATTGCCTGCACCCTTATTCCTTCAGTGGGAAACTGTGGATTTACAGGTCTTAGACTGTTGTTCGTGTATACTGTGCCTGTGTTCTTCACAACCTCCTGAGGAGGACAGGGTGGTCTTAGAGCCACCCACCATAGGTGGGCTGAGGGCTGTCATCCTTTGTAGATTGGCCAACTCCTCATGCTACCAGCGTGGGTGGGCCCGTGCTGCCTGTTCCGCACCTGCGCTGTGCCGCCTCTGCCTCTCTGGAACCTGGGCTGAGAGTAATCTAAGGCATTGGCAAACTTGAATCTGGATTAGAGAACACCAGTAAGGCAGTGTGTGGCTTTCAGGAACACTCCACCCCACACAAGCAGGAGACATAGCTGGTGTACGCCTGCAGTCCCAAGCACTCAGGGCGAAGGCAGGGGCTTCATGAGTTCGAAAGCAGCCCAGGCTTGGGCTTCATCGCTCAGTTTCAATATGTTTGGACTCTTGAGTTTCTCAAATGCTATATGCTATTTTAGTGTTGTCAGTTTCCTGGTAGAATGTACTAAACCTTGAGTATTGAGTTTGTTACTAAGTCTGTCTGCAAAGCTCAGGCAGCCCACTGTCTGTATCTACCATTGCAGAGCACTTAACTAAAATGAATCATTTCTTTTTTTTTTTGGTCAGTTGTAGGGCCTGAACTCTGGGCCTGGGCGCTGTCCCTAAACTCTTCAGCTCAAGGCTAGCGCTCTACCACTTGAGCCACAGTGCCACTTCCAGCTTTTTCTATTTATGTGGTGCTGAGGAATTGAACCCAGGGTCTCATGCTTGCAAGGCAAGCACTCTACCACTGAGCCACCTTCCCAGCCCCACAATGAATCATTTCTAAGGAGCTTCACAGATAGAAGAACCTTCAGTTTTTGTAAGAATGTGGACTGTGATAGTGTAGGAAGCAGCTCCCCATAAATAGAGTGCTCCCTAAATTGTGTTCTCAAAGCTATGAGCCCTGGAACATCTGTCTTCAGCTCTTAGAATACACAGAAGCTGCCTGAAATACTTTTGTGCATGCTTGACACACTTACACATTAATTTCGACGTACACACTCAACACCAGCTGATCTTGGTAGGTTCAGGGGAAGGCTGGGCCCCTGGTGAGTGCTGGAAGGTGTGGAGCGCATTACAGGAACATCAGTAGAAGCCTTGGGTAAAATGCTTCTGGGAGTGGTGTTCATGTGGCCCCTTGGTGTCACCTCCTCCATTAACCTCCTCATGTCAGAGAGAGGCAGGGGCACCACTGACTCTAGTGGGGAACGCGGCAGTGCCCTTCCAGGACAGGCCACCTGGACAGCTGTGGAGCTGTAGGAAGCCCACGCTGTTCTAAGCCTGGGTCTATGCCAGAGGGGCCTTGCTCCAGCTAAGCCCCTACCATGAGGGTCAGTGCAGTGATGGCTAGAGATACCTGGACTCTTGAGAAATGGCAGCCTTCACAGGCTGTAAGTCAGTAAATGGCTAAGGTTCCCTTCCAAGTTAAGTAAGTCTAAAGAGGCCTGCGCTAGCGTGCCTGGCCCATTACTCCTGGATTGCAAAGAAAAGTGTATTTGTCGTGTTTTTCTTTTAAGATAGTATCTGTATTTTCTGCTTCATGACAGTGGCCATCATACTTGCCTTACATGATTGCAGCATCGAAATTATTTATCTCATTAAAGCAGACTAATGTGCAAGCAGACTAATGTGCATCCTAGTCTTCTTCTTCCTGTTCTCTTCCCTGTGTGTAGATGATTACTATTACAGGTTTTTGGCCTTTTCCCTTGGTGGTTTGTCTTTGAAGTAGAAGCTCATGTTTCTATTTCCCAAATCTTACCCAAAAGCACACTGTACACCACGTGTCACGTATGGCCCGTGACACCATTTGGCATATGACAGGTCAGATATATATGCTTCTCGCCTGCTTCTTGTACACTTGTCAGCTGCCCACACCTGTCTGCCAGTATTGATAATTTTGTATGGCCTGAAAATGATGTTATAAGCATGCAAATGGCCTTTGGCAGAAAAACCATTTCCTATGCATTACATAGTCAGAATACATCCTGGAGATTCTCACTTAGTACGTGAAAATCTTTGTTTCTCTCCTTACTGTATGCTACTTTATTTGGAGCGTAGCTCTTTTAGTTAACCTGTCTCCTCATATAGTGCTGAATGAATAGCCAGCCTGGAAGTGTTAACGTGTTTTTCTAGCAGTGCGATTGCTCAGGATTGAAGGGCAGGTGCATGTGACCTTGGCTAGATCTTACACACTCCCCGCCGCAGGGCTCTGTGCACTCTTGCTCCCACCAGCTTTGTCGGAAGAATGCGGGACCTCCCTCCGTGGCAGCAGGCAGCGGGATCTAACGTGACCTTGGGAAAGTAAAGCAGGCCTGACCTGAGGCTGCTTCCACTTAGCTGGGTCCCTGACAGGTTACTTCCATCCCTGGATCTTGTTTTTTTTCCATCGGTCATGTGTGGCCATAGTTCTGAGGGTTACTCCAGATAAGCGGGTAAACAGTAAATGCAGCAAGTGGTGCAGAGCAAGCGGCTGGCAGTGCTGTCCGGTGAGGTCTACTACGGCATCTGCACTTGAAGATTAATGCTGAGTGCAAAGTATTGCTGAAGACTGGACATTTCACTTTGTAGTCTCTGCCAGATTGTTGTGAGATTCAGACGGCCAGTCGAAAAGAAAAACTAATCTCTATTGATGTCTAGTGAGGTGTCTGGAATGATGAGCTGGCTTGGACCGTGTTCTGACACAGCCATCCGAAGGGACCCCAGATTACTGAGCCCGGCAGCAACAGGCCTCCATACATGCTTTGCAGCTTCCCTTTAGAGTCAGCCTCTAGGAGGAACATTCCAGAGGCAAGCGCAGAGCTAGGTGAGGCATTGCTGATGGACAAGGCTTGGGGTAATAACCCATGGGTGCATTTATTGTAAGTGGCATTTACTTATTTATGTTGTATTGCTGGAGATGGAAACCCAGGGCATCTGCTGCCAAGCTCCAGCCCTATAAGTGTGAGTAACTTTTCTGTTAAAATGTAAATTAGTGAAAACACGCTAGAAGTTTTTTGGATTTTTTTTTTTTCTTTTGCTAAAGCTTCCCACTAGGCAGCCCAGGCTGATCTCAAAGTCAAGACCCCGTCTGCTTCCCGAGTGCTGGAATTATAGACATGTACTGTTACTCCCAGCAAAGTGTTCAGAATTCTCCCTGACACACACACTGACAGTTGTAGTCTAACTTCTTGGGCTACCCTGTAGATTGTGTTCTTTTAGTGGGTCCTAAATCAGAGGTTGAAGCACCAGTAGACTTGAGTGCATCTGTGAGCTCCCTGAAATTGTGTGCAAATAGTGTATCTGTGCTTGTGTGTTTGTATGTGTGTGCACATGTAGGATGGACAAGCTCCCTCAGAATTTATATTATCAAATATATCCATGAACATCCCTCTTCAGAATTTACATTATCAAATGTATCCATGAATTCCCTCCCCCCAAAAAAGTTCAGAAACTGTCTTAAACTGTATTCTGTCTTATTTTGAAGGATGTTGCAGCTCGGGGCTTAGATCTCCCACAAGTCACGTGGATTGTTCAGGTAATTTTGTAGTTGTTAAGATAGGGGCTTCAGGCAGGAATATGGTCATGAGCAGATGCACTGGCTTGAAGTAGGATCATTGCTACCCTCTTGGGTGTTGCCCTGGTAACCAGGCAGCAACCAGCCTTGTCTGTATGATTCCCCTGACATCTTCCTTGACCCAGCCCACCTACCCACTGCAGCAGAAGAGCCAGGAAGTGCAGTTGTGGCGGGAGGTAGCGATCTCTCCTGCCTCCCAGATTTAATTCGTGTGACAAACCAAAGTTTCAACAGCCTGAAAATACAGGGCATTATCTGGGCCCTCAGGAGGCTGCATTGCATCCAGATGGAGATGGCTCAGCTGTCCTGAGAACCGTGTCCATGTACATTGACCTGCAGGGAGCAATTAAGTTCCTGACAGCACCTTACACATACCTCCAGCCTTAGATGCTTCGCCAGAGGGTACAGGTGCTAGCACTAGAGTCGAGTGGGTTTAGTTTTGTCTTTCCTTTTTGTTAGTCTGCAGAATAGCATTTTTAAGCCTGTGTAAGGGCCGGGTGACACGTGGCCTGTTTTCGTGAGTCATGGTTTATTCACGCTTGGGTGGGATTTCATTCCTGTCTCTGGCCAGCAGATCTGATCTGCTTGTCACAGACAATTACTTTGGGAGTAGAGGCCTTGTGTCTTCTTTCCTGCTGGCCAGAGCAAGTGGAAGAGAAGAGGGCAGGATGATCTAAATGTGCAGATGCCCTGTAACGGCCACGGAGAGCCTCGGACCGTGAATGTTGATTGGTTTACTGTGCACAGCCTCCTCCGTAGTACATTCACCATGGTCCTCTGACTTTGATTTGTGTAGCAGCAAAGAAAAACAAAAACAGGCGGTCACTTAGGTTTAATGATGACAGAGTCACCGCTGAAGATGTCATAAAATACGCTGACTGAAGCCAGGTGCCGGTGGCTCATGCCTGTAATCCTAGCTGCTCGGGAGGCTCAGATCTAATGGTGTTGGTTTGCACTCAGCCGGGTAGGAAAGTCCCTGAGACTCGTATCCAATTAAACACCAAAAACCAGAAGTGGTACTGTGGCTCAAATGGTAGAACACTAAGGCTCAGGGACAGTACTCCGGCCCTGAGTGCAAGTCCTAAAAAAACATCCACCGCCTGATCGGTTGTGCTGAGTTGGGCCTTCCCCTATTCCTGAGTCAGGAACGCCCTCCTGGGAGCAGAAGCCTGCCCTGCCTGCAGGGAGCCTGCCTCACCACCGCCCGGCTGCTCTACCCATTGGGACCTGCTTTGAGCCGGGCAGCGGAGCAGACTCTGCCAGCACTGCAGTTGGCCTGCTTCATCCGAGGCTGCCAGCCTCCTCTGTTACCTCATGCCTGCTGCTTTGTCTGCGGAGGAAGTAGGCCAAGGTCACGTGGTCGTCAGGCCTGCGTCCTCAGCTTGCACAGTCACCTCGGTGAAAAGATGCAAATAGGAAAATGAAGAGACCTGTGGAGAAGTAAAATTAAAAAGGAGATCTTGGAGTGAGACTTGGCCACCGCTCACACGTGCATGTCAGAGCCCTGTTATTTCAGTGTAGCCAGGAGTCTCGGGGTTGAGTGACTTCTCCTTGTGATTGTGTTTGAGTAACCATAGCCCCGGATTCTCATTCTCGGGCTACCTGGAGGCAGGTGAGGGGTATTGCACTTCCAATTAACGGCAGTCCCTTGATCTGTGAATGCCTTCGTTTTTGTTACCCTCTTTAGTACAACGCTCCATCCTCACCTGCAGAGTATATCCACCGGATTGGGAGAACCGCCCGGATTGGCTGCACTGGGAGCAGCCTGCTCATGCTGGCGCCTTCGGAGGCAGAATATGTCAACTCGTTGGCTTCTCACAAAATCAAGTGAGTCAGAAACCTGAACGGGGTTTCAGCTGATCTCACCTAATTAACTTTCTGTCGCTTTTTACACTGGATAGACCTTGTAAGCTGCTGAAGAGCCATTAACCCTTGTGATCCCTAAATGAGTCCCAGAATAGCCAGTGGCAAACACCCAAACCCTCACTACATCAGCACCTGACACTTTGCATCGCGTTGCCATGCTAAGTCACAGGACGTCTGTCGCACTTGGTTTTTAAGACACAAGTCTATGTCTCGTTTCTCCTCTCCACAGTGGGAGTGCACGGCCTCAAGCCAGCAGTGTCTTGAAAACCCCATTTTATTTCTGTGCTTATTGTTTTATAGCTTCAGAACTGGCTTTGTAGGGGCTGGGAAGGTGGCTCAGTGGTAGGGCGCTTGCCTTGCATGCTCAAGGCCCTGGGTTCGATTCCTCAGCACCACATAAGCAAAAAGAAAAAAGCCAGAAGTGGCGTTGTGGCTCAAGTGGTAGAGCACTAGCCTTGAGCTGAAGAGCTGAGGGACAGCGCCCAGGCCCAGAGTTCAGGCCCCACAACCAGACCCAAAAAAAAAAACTGGCTTTGTAAAAAACATTAAAATGATGCTGGGCTGGGAAGGTGGCTCAGTGGTAGAGTGCCTGCCTAGCATGCATGAAGCCTTGGGTTCGATTCCCCACTACCACATAAACAGAAAAAACCGGAAGTGGTGCTAGCTAGCCTTGAGCAAAAGAGGCTAAGGGACCAGTGCCCAGGCCCTGATTTCAAGCCCCATATTAGCCAACAAAAACAAAAACACTTTTTACTGATCTCACAATTCCTTTCCCCCAGGAAAATAAGCCAGATTAGAGTGAGATTGGGGGGGGGGGGGCATTCAAAGCAGCCAAATACATTCTCTACCCTGCTGCTGTCTTGGGTGTGGCACAGTAACCAATCTCATGCTCCTGTGGAAAGCCAGGACTCCAGGCCTGGGCCAGCTGACCCTACAGGAGTGGTAGGACAGCCACAGGGAAATGATGTGCCTGAGCCACAGACGTGCATTTGTCTTATTTTCCCTAAATTCCATGGCACTGGAAGACACAGGTCCCAATGATGGGTACATGAGAGTTGTTTTGTTTTGTTTCTGGTACTGGGCTTGAATACTCACTCAGCTTTCCTGCTCACGGCTGGCACTAGACCACCTGAGCCACACCTCCAGTCCCAGCCTTCCCATGGTTAATTGGAGTTAGAGTCTTTTAGACTTGACTGCCTAAGCTGACTTTGCACCACAATTCCCCAGGTTTCATTTCCTTAGCTTTCATTTCCTTAGCTGGGATTACAGGCGTGAGCCACTGGACCTGGCAATGTGCAGTTTTTGACACAGATTTACTTAAAAGAACTTATACTCCAGCATAGCACATGGATAAAAGGGTTCTTGGAAGCACCATGTGAGTGTATGTCTGCCTAGGGTATGGCACCCGTCATGCCCAACAGCAGCTCTGGCTGCCCAGGTCCTGAGGACCAGCACTGGACTGTGAATATGCTCCACTGTGCTACTGACTGAATCTGATTTCCTTCTTACCCAGCTCTGTATTTTATGCAAACAAACATATAAAACCACAAGAATCCCCTAAAATACAAAGCTGAAAAAGTTGTATTATATACTTTAGAACAGAATGTCTTAGCAGATGTGGGAGCTGGGGTCTTGAGGTGGTCTGCAGGACTACCTTCAGCCCTCCTCACCCTCCTTCTTTCTTGCCAAACTTTGTCCTAGGGATTTTGGATACACAAAGTGTTTGGGGAGCAGCATGTTGGGGTACCGTGGTAGGTTCCAGCCACAGTAGAACATTTCAGCCCCGCACCCACCAGCCTGCTGATCTCCACCTTTGTCTCCTTTTCCTCCCCTACTAGCCTAGACCTGCAGGCACCTTCCTTTGCCGTCCCTTCCCATTGTCCACACGGAATGCTCCCCATGCCCCCACACTTGGTAATGACCTCACAAAATGAAGGAGCACATTTAGGGGTCACAGACCAGAGCTGGGAAAGGCATGCCTCTGTTGTCACCTTCAGACGAGTCTCTGCAGCGGCCAGACAGGAACCTAACATTAAAAAGCGAAAAGCAGTGATCGCACAATCGGGCCTTATTGGAGAGCCGGTGTAGTTTAAGGACATAGCAAGCGGTGTTGTCCGTGACAAGCTGGTCTAGGAGAGCAGCAAGCAGTGCTGTGCGAGACTCAGCATGAAGTCTCTGCACAAAAGAAGTGGCCACCCAGGGAAGCTGGTGCGTTGGCCTTAACCTTTGTGAGGAGCCAGGACAGTTCTGCAAGGAAGGGAAGGCTTTTCAGGACAGGTTTGCCAGGCTGTGTAAGAACCTTCCTACCAGAACATGGGTCCTACACGAGCCCTTCTTGATGCCATTACCCTGAACACTCACCCACCTGTGGCTAGCCAGAGAGTGGAGGCCACATTATTCCCTGGTAGCCATGCATCACACATCCCATTGCTGCCTGAGGAAAGACCCTGGTTTGCTTATCTGTGTACAGACTATATCTTTGATGTAAAGCTGGTTGCAGAAGATGCAGTGGGAAGAAGCAGCCAGGAACATTTAAGGAATCCAGAAGGAGCACCTGAAATAGTAAAGAGGAAATGGAGGAGGGAGGGAGGGAGGAGTGTGTGTGTGTGTGTGCGCGTGTGTGTGCGTGTGTGTGTGTGTGTGTGTGTGTGCGTGTGTGTATTGTGCCATTCCTGAGAATGCAGGAGCCAGGCAGCGGGATACTGGGTGGCTGATGAATTGCAGGGAAGATTCGGGAAGGCAGGCCGAGGCTCCCGGCAGCAAGGGCATCACAACAAATTGCTGGCTGCCTTCATGTGCAGGCACTGTGGAACTCACCCTGACAATTTAATTTAGCAGACTGGGCAAGAGACAGGTGCCCTGTGCCGCTGCTTTGCCTCTATGTCCTTTTGACTTCTTTGTATTTCCCAACTCCTTAACTTTCTACTTCCCCTTTAAGGGTATCGCTAATGAAAGTCATTGCTGCGTTATTAAAATGTAAATACCTCATCAAATGTGTATTTCTTAGATCTGGTGTGCGACAGTTCCCTGGATTTATTTTTCTATCTTTTTCCCCAGCAAGGTGGGGTAATTCAAATCTGTTGATAGGAACCATAAATAATCACAGTGGGCTTCCTTTGTTCCTTGGAAGCAGTGATTTCTTAGAAATAGGAAGGAGGTCCTTTTAAACTGTAAATCATTCCAGTTTATTCTCGGTTCCTACCCAATTTGCTTGGGCGCGTGGGCCCCCAGGTCTGCCTGGCGCCCGCTGGGTCTGAGTAGCGGCGCTCCCTCTGTGCGCGGATGCACAGTTCCTCACCGTGGTTTTTGCATTTCTGGCTGTGAGTGGCATTACTCTTTTTCCTTTTTCCATTTTAAGATTCCACGCCCAAGTCCTTCTATTTCTTTTTCATTTGTATTTTTCCTCCTCGTCCTCCTCTCTTCCCACCCCCTTTCACCGAGCAAGTGGCAAGTAGGAAGCCAGTGAGAGAGAACACCATAGTTCTGGGCCATATTTTCACCTTCAGGTTTCCAGGGAAAAGAGCACATTCAGCTGCCATACTTCTCTGTCAGCCCCAGGGGCCAGGGGACCATTCCCATGGGGTCCCTGCGGGGGGTGAGGGCACCTCCCCCCTGCCTCCCACCCTCCACATCCACTGCCTTCTGCACTTGTCTCTGTCTGCTGCAGAAAGACTTGGCTGGTGCACGGCTGGGAGCTCGCGCTGAGGGGCCAAGGCGGAGTGCTCGGGAGGGGGTGGCACATCTCCATACCTGCTGTCAGACATGGCGTTTCCCTTCATAGTCTTGTCAGATGAACCTTTGGGGAAACAGAATTGTCTTGTCCCACATAAGAGGTCGCTATTCATGTTTTAATTTGCTGCTACATTTTCAAAAAAAAAAAAAGAAGAAAAGAAACCAACAACACAATCATCTGTCTTTTTGCGGTTTTTCTCCCTGAGTTTCTTCCTTCCCTTTCCCTCCCTCCCTGAAGTGTCTCAGCCATGCACATTTCCTCCCTGGCTCTCACTGTGGTCAGTCTGCTTGTGCTCTGAACTCTCTGCAGACCCCCTGGAGCCAGGGAAGCTGGCCTGACTTCCCTCAAGTTTCGCAGAGCAAGTGTCTGCATTCATTAGAAAGCATGTGGAGCAGGGATGCTGCGGATGCATTTTCGCCAGCTCCCACCTTCTTTTTAAACACAGAACTAAACAGACCCTATAAAATGTTTATTTCATCATCTCATGCGAAGGTAGCTTATCCCTAAGCAAGCCTCTCTGTTTACTATTACAAGATCTGTTAAGAAGGGAGATGGGCACTGGTGGCTCACACCTGTAATCCTAGCTACTCAGGAGGCTGAGTTCCAAGAATCATAGTTTGTAGCTAGCCTGGGCAGACTTTCATCTCTAGTTAACCAGAAAAGGGCTGGAAGTAGAGGTATTCCTCAGGTGGTAGAGTCAGCCTTGAGTGGAAAAGCCAAATGACAGTGTAAAGCCGAGTTCAAGCCCCAGTACTGGCGTGCACACACACACACACACACACACACACACACACAATTGATATCTCTGAAGTATATATCTCTAAATGGATGGTACTTCTGTTTTGTGTCAAGTTAGATTGAGAACAGGCAAGTTTTATGCATGAAGATCTGATACGTTTTGAGGAAGAGTAAAAAATTTATTTTGGTGACTCCTTTCCTTTTACAGTGTTTCTGAGATTAAGATGGAAGATATTTTGTCTGTCCTGACCAAGGATGATCGTTTTGAAGTGAGACGAAGGGGCAACCAGGCGAATGTGAGTACTCGTGCTTAACAGGCATGCCTCCTTTCTTAATCTGGGATGGTAGAGAGTCAGTGTATTGTTGATTTCTTCTGCCAAGCAGCGTGTTTATTTTCAGCATCATGAACATTAGATGAAGCCATGTTTGATTGTGCGTTTTTTCTCCTCTTCGCTTCTGGATGGATTTTCTGGTCTCATCCAGTTAAGGGCTCCCGTCCATTCTGGAGGTCTGCCAGCCAGCAGCAGGCTCCATGGAAAGGTGGCCGAGGGCGGGAAGGGTCTGGAGGCCGCATTACACGCTCACCCCGGTGGTCCCTCTCCAGATCCATCAGCCAGGACCACTGGGTGGACCTGCCTGTCCACAACAGCATGGAAGACATCAGCATCTCTGTGTCTCCTTTCACACACGCTTCGTTCATCCATTTTTTAATGTGTGTCCTATCCACACAGGAAAAGTAAAGTTGAGATCATTAAGAAGAAAAATTTCTATTATCTGTGCAGTTCCATATGGAGATTGTGAGCCGAGGCAGACAGCTCAGAACATCCGTCACCGCTCCCTGTCCAGGCCTCGCCCCCAGCCCGTCACTCAGGGTGTCACATTCACATGCCGGTGTAGTGTCACTCCACGTAATTTTGTCTATCAAATTTTAATTATGTGAATAAATTACATTTGTTTTCTTCTGCCTGAGGACAGAGTAGAAAATCAAGCCACATAGATCAAGCCAAGGTGTTTCTTTTATGCTTTAGTGTGTGCCTTTACCTGGATCGATATTCTCCCTGAGGCAGAGGATGGATTTGACTAACCCTGACATAAGCTCACTCCTTCCAGAGCACACCTGAGGAAATTTACCTGCTTAGATGAGAGGCGATAGCCATACAGAGTGCTGCCCTTACGTGTATCATTCAGGGCCGGGCTGAGGCCCCGTATAGTTTCCCCTGCAACCCCAAATGGTATACGTGGCCTCTGTTTATAGGTGAAGAGACTGAGACTTGAGGCAAATGAGCTCCCACAGGTGTGCTCATGGGCATGGACTTAACAGTCCTCCACATGCCTCCAGTGGCATGGACTATACTACTAAAAGGGAATTGAAGTCTAGACGCTAGTGGCTCGTGCCTGTAATCCTAACTACTCAAAGAGGCTGAGATCTGAAGATCAGGGTTCGAAGCTAGCCTGGGCATTTAAAGTCTGTGAGACTCATCTCCAACTAGCCAGCAAAAAGCACAAAGTAGAGCTGTGGCTTAAGTGGTAGAACTCTAGCCTCGAGCAAAAAAAGCTCAAGGAAAGTGCCCAGGCACTGAGTTCAAGCCCCAGGACCCCAGCACCAAAAAAATGGGGGAGGGGAACTGAACTGTTTTATGTGGTGGGAGTGTGAGGTGTGAGGAGCCAACCCAGGGCCTGTGTATATTATACTCCACCAGTACCCCTAGTTCCCGGGTTGTTTTGTATCATTTTGTTTTGTTTTGATAGATAATGTTACCCATTTCCATAGGAATGAAGTGTTGGATCAAGAAATTGTACTACATCAGAGATCCTTATGCCTGATCAAAGCTTCTGTTAATCCAGGCACCAGTGGCTCATGGCTGTAATTCTACCTGCTCAGAAGGCTGAGATCTGAGGATCACAGGTTCAAAGCCAGGCTGAGCAGGAAAGTCCATGAGACTCTTATCTCCAGTTAACCAGCAAAACAAAAAACTGGAAGTGGAGCTCTGGCTCAAGTGGTAGAGTGCCAGCCTTGAATGCAAAAGCCAAGTGAACATGTAAGGCCCTGAGTTTGAACCACAGTAGGACACATACAGTCATTGTTAAAGACCCAATTGATGATATGTGGTTTGTGCCACAGTCGCCTCCAGGTCTCCCTCGTGGTGGACATGCCAGGGGAAGGGACCAGACACCACACAAGTGTCATTTAGTCTTGTCACACTTGGGTTCCTCTGGAACTTCTGCAAATTCCGGTTTAATGGCCCGGACCCCACGGACCTTCACAGTTAGCAGCAGCTCCATTCTGAGGGACTGGACACAGGTGGAGGAATCAGGGCTGTGTAGCATCTCGGAGCAGGGCCTTGGGTCTGAATCCTGGCCTCTCACCAGCTGGAAGGCTTTGGGAAACCCTGGGCTTTTCTACGCCCCAGTTTCTTCCTGGGTAATGCTGAGAGTAAAGCTGTAGTGCTCTTCTCACAGGGAGCTGAGAGGGCGGCGAGGACCAAACCCAGGGTCTACACTACCTACCCCGCGGTGGCTGCCGCCGCTCCAGTGACACCCGTTGCTGTTGGCGCCACAGAGGGCAGTCGCAGGTGTGGAGCTGCAGCCCACACGCAGCCACCGGTGTCCCAGCACCCTCTTCAACTGCACCTTCCTGCGAGGAGCAAAGGAAGATGGGAACGTTGGATCAGGCTTTTTTTTTTTAATGCTGTTTTATTGTAAAGATGCTGTGAGAGTGGTTACAGTTACATGAGTGAGGTACAGTTCTTGTGGAACACTGGCAACCACTCCATCCGGGCTTGGTCTTTCCTATGCCATGTGTGGGACAGGCTGGGGTTTCTGTCTTTATCCCTGAACAGAGACCTTTCTCCCCAGGGAGGTGACCCCTCCCGAAGGAAGGGGCACAGCAGCTGCCTTTCCCTCCGCCTTTCAGCAATAGGCCATGTCTTCTTTTTATTTTCTTTCTTCTTTTTCTTTTTTAACATCTGCCCTTCTGTGGCTTTGCAGCCTCAATTCTTCTCCTTAAGCCTTTTCCTGGCTGGAGGCCAGCCTTAAAGATGTCCTGAGCCCAAAGAGCTGTCACAAGGTCCTCGGGAAAAGCCAAGTCCCAGAGTCAGGCAGACATGCTTCACAGCTGACACCTCTGCAGCCTGGAACAAATGTTCCTCTCCTGGCCTCCGTTTTCCCAGCTGTAGTAGTTACAGGAGCGCACCCATCTCCAGGGCTTCGGTGAGGTCTCGATAGAACGGGGCAGAAAGTACTTTGGATGGTGCTAGGCCACATAAATTCTTAAGACCTGAGATTGTATCATTTCTTCCCAAGCTGCTGCCTTGATGGGTGAGAGTGGGCTGAATGCTTTTGTAGTGTTAAGATTTGGTCGTTGTGGGCTGGGAAGGTGGCTCAGTGGTAGAGCGCTTGCCTTGCATGCATGAAGCCCTGGGTTCTATTCCTCAGCACCACATACACAGAAAAAGCCGGAAGTGGCACTGTGGCTCAAGTGGTAGAGTGCTAGCCTTGAGGTAAAGAGCTGAGGGATAGAGCTCAGGCCTAGAGTTCAAGCCCCATAACGGACAAAAAGAAAAAAAAAGAAAACTGAGCAAAGTTGGATTTTTGCTGATAATGATGTAAGTAGAAATTTGCGAAACTTACTTAGTCACACATTATTATAGATGCCATATCAACTTTGACTTGGCATATAGGACCAAATATAACTTTGGTGTTACGCTCGAATGAGAAAGAAAAACTAACCATTGTGGCTCAAGAGATTGATGGTTGTAGTTCAAAGCTAGCCAGAGTATAAAAGTTGGTAAGACTCCATCTTAACCAGTGGGTCCACATGGTTCTGTATGCCTGTTTTCATAGCTACCGAGGAAAATGCAAGTGGGAAGATCGAAACCCAGGCCAGCCCAAGCATAAAGTGAGAGACTCTTCTTGAAAATGACCAATGTAAACTGAATGTTACTAGATCACACCTGTAATCCTAACTACTCAAGAGGCTGAAATCTGAGGATCAGGGTTCGAGGCCAGCCCCAGCAGTGAAGTCTGTAAGACTTATCTCCAGTTACCAGTAGAGTGCTAGACTGTTAGTGGTAGAGCACTGTGAGTAAAAATTTTAGGTCAGAGCAGAGGTCCTGAGTTCAAACCTCCCTGTACTAGCACAGGAAAAAATGAAAGAAAATAACCAGCGTAAAAAGCAGCTGAAGGTGTAGCTTAGTGATAGTCACCACCCTAAAAGAAGGGCAGGAAGGAAGGCAGGCTAATCAAGTTGTCTGTATTACCAATTTTACAACTTGTCACGATTTTTGGCTTAAGAAATGCTGTCTCCCAGGCACTAGTGTTCACACCTGTAATCCTAGTTACTCAAGAGGCTGAGATCTGAGGACCACTGTTCAAAGTCAGCCCAGGCAGGAAAGTCTATGAGACTTTATCCAATTAACTGGCAGAGAGCCAGAAATGCAGCTTTTGCTCAAGTGGTTGAGCACCAGCCTTGAGCAAAAAAGCTAAGGGATAGCACCTAGGCCCTGAATTCAAGCCCCAGGACTGGCACTAGAAAAATAGTAAGGAGAAAGGGAAACAAGCAGGGAGAAGAGGAGGGGTGTGGTGAGAAGAGAACACAGGTGAATGCGGTCTGTCCTGGCCTCTCCACATTTGGGGCATTGCTCCAGTGAGCGCTCTGATGTCAGGCGTGCGCACCGAGGCTCAGGAGCTGGGCCTTTCCCGCGTAACACTGCCACCTCATTAGAATGCCCCTTTTCTTCACCCTGCTTGACTGAAGTCCATGGAAATGTCCCTTTGGCACACCCATTTTGGGGCTTCTGTGAACAGAAAGAGAGTGAAGCATCTGTAAAATGTATATTTCATATTTAGGTATATAAAATATATATACAGCTGCGTCTGAGTATGTGAGTATTCACCCACCTACAAAGAGAATAAATTTGATCTTTCAACTTGACTAGAATGCACTCAGAAAGTTCTGGAGACCATGGGGTAAAAGCTCAGCATGGCAGGAAAGTGATTAAAACAAAACTCTTCCATTTAGTTAAAAATCTTAGAGTTGGCCATATCAGTGCACTTACACACACAAACACACACGTACATGCACACACCTCTGTCCTTATCTTAGAAAGACGGGAAGACTTCATCGGCAATGTGCACACACCTACCGTGTTTTTGCTGCAAGTTGTTTGGGTGTTTGGGGGGCAGGGAGAGGTTGTCCTGTAAGCTTGTTGTCAGCATTGTTAGGTATTAAAATCAGATGCAAGCCCCTGCCTCATCCTTTTTAAAAGATGATCTGCTCTTTCCTAGATCAGTAGGGTGTTCGAGAAGAGGCTCCCTGGGTGTGGATGAATGGTCAGATATGTGTTTTTCTAAACTACCTGGGGCCCGTGGTAGGCTAGTTGGAGGTGAGCCTCATTAACCGGGGAGTAGACCTGTATCTTTGAGGGTGGGAGAGCTGTTCCTGGGGTACTTGTGTGCCTGGGGGCCCTGACCCCCCTCATTATGGCAGCTTTTACCTGTCTGAGGCTGAGGTGGTGCTGCCGAACTCTGCCCCCTCTGTCTTCAGTTTAAATTTAGTCTGTCCTCCCAGAAGACAGCTGAACAGCACCTTGCTGCTCCTCAGGAGGGGTGGCCTTAAAGTATTTCTGGAAGTGGTGGTAGGGAGGGAAGGCATGTTTTTTCCAAAGAATATGTTTCCTGTCATTAACTTTTTCTTATATTTTACTAAAACTGACCCCATCATTTCAAATGTGAGCCTAGATTTCTCATTTTTTTCTACGTATTTCACTTGTATATACACTCATATTATATATATGTAATTTTTGGGGGGGTGGGAAGAAAAGATACCTCATTTTGAAACCTAAAGGGGGGAATAAGAAAAGCCCTTTGTAATATATTGCCATATTATCACTAAATCCCCTGACAGTTGTGACACAGAAGCAAGTCACCTGTCACTTAAGCTTGAGGTCTCTTTAATTTTCTCCTGGAATTCGCACCAGGCTGTCTTTAATTTGAGGCCTTTATTGGAATTCTGAACCCTCTCTGCCTCCCCGGCTCTCAGATCTATTCTGAGAGCTGTTACAGAATGTATACAATAACCAACAGAGGGATTGGTAGAGGGCTGCAGCTCTGTTTATTTAACACTCTAGAGGGATTTTTGTGCTTATTCGGTCCTGGCTGCCCGGCTTTCAATATCGCTTTGACAACCATTCTGCCCTTCTCATTAATTTTAAACAGTTAAAACACAGGAAAAAGAGGGAAAAGTTTTCATTATTAAAGTGCTTTACTTTTTAATAACAGAGGATTCTGTCCGCCAGGGGAAAGGGCATCCTCACTAATTTCACATTCATATTAAAGAAAAAAACTGCAAGCAAGGTGACAGTTGTGCAGCCGGGGTGGCTTAAGGAAAGGAGGGCAGCGGGAAGCTGCATTCCTCGTCAGTTAAGGGGGGACATCGTTGGTGACGACAAAAGCAAATGTCCACTTTGGTAACACAGCTCCTTAGTGAATCTTCTCCCGCCATTTCGGCAGCTAGCACCCTTAGGGGAGCATGTACTGTGAAGTCAGCTAGACTGTCATCAGCCAAACAGATAGTGGGAGATGGGACTGCACTAAAAACAGAGGTGAGCGGAGATCCGAAGCCTAGGGCCTTTCCTCTTCTCCCCTTTGTTCTTCTTCCTGCTTTAAAGGTGGATGCGGGGGTTGGGGCGCATAGGCAGGTCCGACACCAGCCTCAAACCCTGTCCTCTAAAAGTGAGAGGCCTGGAGCTCACACTGGGTTTTCCGGCGTGACCCTCACTGGGTGCTGGGAGTGTGGTAGAGGCACAGTGGTGCCATCACAGGGTCACATGACTACATAGCCCCATGGGTCTTAGGTTCTCATTCAGTAGAAAGCATCTATACCTGTTTTAAGATACAGGATCTCAGCAGGGGCATAATCCAAGTGTAAGAGTGCCTGTGAAGCAAGTACCAGGTCCTGAGTTCAAACCCCAGTGTTGCCAGAACCTAATAAAGACATGGGAAGTAAATAAATACAATGGCTTTCTGGAAGTATTTTTAAAAGGAATCTTTTCTCTGGGCTGTGTGTGTGTGTGTGTGTGTGTGTGTGTGTGTAAACATGTGCATGCATGTGTGCACGCACACCAATACTAGAGCTTGAACTCAGGACCTAGGGACTGTCCTTTAGCTTTTTTTGCTTAAGGCTAGCACTGTACCATTTGAGCCAAAACTCCACTTGATGGTTAGAGATAAGAGTGTCAGGGACTTAACTGCCCAGACTAGCTCTGAATTTAAATTCTCAGATTTTAGCCTCCTGAGTAGCTAGGATTACAGGTGTGAGGCATAGGCACACAGCTCTGAGCTTCTTAAAGGATGAGAATAACTGCATATGGGGTAGGGGAGATAGCTGAAGTTTGAACTCAAGTTCTTGTGCTCTTTTTTCTTTTTCTTTTTTTTTTTTTTTTTTTTTTTTTTGCCCCTCTCAAGGCTGGCCCTCTACCATCTAAGCCACAAGTCCACTTTGGCTTTTCACTAGTCAATTGGAGATAGGCATCTCACGGACTTTTCTGCTTGGGGATGGCTTTGAAGTGTGATCCTCAGATCTCAGCCTCCTGAGTGGCTAGGATTACAGGTGTGAGCACTGGTGCCAGGTTAGAAAATAACCAAGTCAACTGGGTGCCAGTGGCTCATACCTTGAATCCGAGCTCTTCAGGAGCCTGAGATCTGAGGATTGCAGTTCAAAACCAGCCTGGGCAAGAAATTCTTTTTTTGGGGGGGGTGGGGGGGAGTCCAGTTGTGGGTGGGGCCTGAACTTTGGGCCTGGACGCTGCTCTTCAGCTCAAGGCTAGCACTCTACCACTTGAGCCACAGCGCCACTTCTGGCTTTTTTCTTTTTGCTTATGTGGTGCTGAGGAATCGAACCCAGGGCCTCAGGCATGCAAGGCAAGCTCTCTACCACTGAGCCACCTTCCCAGCCCTTGGGCAAGAAATTCTGTGAGATTTTTTTTATCTCCAAAAAACTACTCAGAAAAAGCTGAAAGTGGCACTGGGGCTAAGTTCAGGGACAGCACCTAGGCCCCAAGTTCAAGTCCCAGCACCGACAAGAAGAAGAGGAGGAGGAAGAGAAAAGAAGAAGAAAAAAAGAAGAAGAAGAAGTTGTTTTATAAATATTTTCCATTGCTGAGTTCTTCCATGGATAATGGTGTCTTGCCGCAAGGATCCAGACTGTCTTCACATGAGGCCTGCTGGGAGGGCCACTCCTTAATAGTTCTGGGAACACAGCTGGCGATTGGTTCTGGGCTTAGGGCACAGATCAGAAGCGCTGGTGAAGAGGGAAACATGCTGGAACTCATAGACAAGAATACTCTGGCTGGAAAGGTGGCTTAGCGTTAGAATGCTTGCCTAGCGTGCATGAAGCCCTGGGTTGGATTCCTCAGTACCACATACACAGAAAAAGCCAGAAGTGGCGCTGTGGCTCAAGTGGTAGAATACTAGCCTTGAGCAAAAGAAGCCTAGGGACAGTGCCCAGGTCCTCAGTTCAAGCCCCAGGACTGGCAAAAAAGAAAAAAAGAATTACTATGAAAGGCTGAATTTTAGGGAGGTCACTGGAATGCTTTGAAATTTTCCACTGATGTTGGGGGCGGAGGGGAGTTGTAGGAGAAACAAATTTGAAAACAATTTGTGTTCGGTGGTGTTTGAAGTGCCTGAATTAGACTTAGAAAATTGTCGTGTCTCCAGTGGTCTTCCATTTTCAGCGTGAGTGATGAGAGGTCATGAGGAAAAGTAGGTAAATAAATAAACAGACCTGATCTTCTCCTTCACAGAGCCATCCTCAGCTTTGCCTGACTTTAACATCTTTATAGCTCCCTTTTTTCCCTAGTAATATTGAAAGGATTACCCTCGTTGGCCCCTGGGTGGTTACTGTGTGATTTTACTGTTATTAAATCTATTATAAACTGCTTCATTATTCCTGACTTCAACTCTGTCTCTCCTTTAATCCTTCCGTCACCCTCCCAGAAATCCCAGGCCGTTGGCCCCCAGGAAACCCGAGAGCGAGCCACAGTCTTGCAGACAGTGTTCGAAGATTATGTGCACTCCAGTAAGAAGACAGTCTCCTGGGCAAAAAAAGGTTTGTTGATGTCTTGGGTCGTTTGGGCAGGGATCGCTCAGCATGGGCCCTCGCTTGCTCACCTGGCATGGCTAAAAGGTCAGCCCCGGATCTCTACCTTCTAGCTTCTTCTAGCGCTTTCCCGCCCCTTCCAGCTCCATAATTCTACAGGGTTTGGCAGTAGGCATGGAAGGCTTTAAAGTGATATTAAATGTTAATTTCACCCTTTTCCGTCTCTTGCACAAATGGGGCTTTATCTGGCTTATAGAAGGACTAGAACTTTGACTCAACAACTTAGATCTTGGGGAACTGTTTTTCTCTTTTGTCTTTGAACACCAAATACAAGAGAGATGACGTCAGTAGAAATAGTTGGGATGGAAATTAGAAGTGAAGGAAAGGGCTGAGAGTATTAGACCTGAGCAGTTCTTATTTGAAGTTACAAAGAAAACTGAGCCGACTGTTGAGGAAGGCCATTTGCTATTCAGACCTCTGTAGTATAAATTGGCCCCTGAGATCTAGCATGAGGTATGGAATTAGCAGTTCATGTTGGACAGTGAGCAGCGCAGGGTTGGGTGTACAAACCATGTGCTTTATTCTAGTGGGATGTCCTGGCTGGTGACTGACGTGCTCATTACACTCATTCTCAGTTAGAGGAATCATAGTTCTTTTTTTTTTTTTTTTTTTTGGTCGGTCGTGGGGCTTGAACTCTGGGCCTGGGCGCTGTCCCTCAGCTCTTCAGCTCAAGGCGAGCGCTCTACCACTTGAGCTACAGTGTTACTTCCGGTTTTCTGGTGGTTTATTGGAGATAGGAGTCTCACGGTCTCTCCTGCCCGGGCTGGCTTTGAACCGCGATCCTCAGATCTCAGCCTCCTGAGTAGCTAGGATGACAGGCATGAGCCACCAGCGCCCGGCTAGAATCATAGTTCTTTCTGTTAGTTGCTTGCTGTTTTGAGAAAAACCCCAGGCTAGCTTACCAATGTGGAAACTCTGTAGCATCACACACCCCCTTTTGGGGGGGTATTATTTGTTTATTTGTTGAGACACGGTCTTATTATGCAGCTCAGGCTGGCCTCGAACTCTTGATCCTCCAGCCTCAGCTGTTTAGCACTGGGATTATAGTTGTGTACCACCATTCCTAGCTAGAAGTGCCTGTTCAGGATTCTTTCCTCAGAGGTGTCTCTTGGCATGGCCTGTTGTAGTGCTGCAGTTGCATGAGGGTCAGAGCAGGAGACTCCCTCCCCGCCGTGGGGCTGAGCTTAGTGAGGAGCAGGAGCAGCAGCGAGCGGAAAATCAGACTGTTAAAGGTGGTAAGAACTGTGGAAAATAGAGCAAATGAGGGAGAGGAAGGAGTGGGAGAGCAGAGTACATTTTAACAGCAGGCCACAGCGAATAAAAACCCGGAGTAGGGTGAGCCGCAGGCCACACACAGAGGCCCGCCAGCCCCTCACCGCCCAGGAGGAGGCACATGGGCGTGGGCTGAGGAAGAACCACACAGCGCTTGAGGCTTGCGGGGTCTTCGGGTTTTACCCTGAGTGAAGTGGGGCATTGGAGGGCTTTGGGCAGGGACACGGTATGACGAGACCCCCGCTTCGGAAAGGCTACCTACCTGGCTACTGTGTAGACCTTCAGGGCAAGGATGAAAGCTGGGAAACTGGTTGTGGGGGGAGCACGGCCATCTGGAAATGGAGAGAAAAGCCGGGCGAACACAGTGCTTGGGTATATACAAACGCAGTGCTTGGGTATATACAAACGCAGTGCGTGGGTATATACAAACGCAGTGCGTGGGTATATACAAACGCAGTGCGTGGGTATATACAAACGCAGTGCTTGGGTATATACAAACGCAGTGCGTGGGTATATACAAACGCAGTGCGTGGGTATATACAAACGCAGTGCATGGGTATATACAAACGCAGTGCTTGGTATATACTTGACTTGGATCCATAAGGCCCCAGAAACACCAAACATTTGTTTTGAAGGGTATCAAGTATCTAATCATACGTTTAATACATAATTAAAGCAGTTTTTACTTAACCATAAAACTCAAATCAGAACTGCACACAGTAAAAGTCCCAGTAATAGCTACTGATAAGTAATTGGTGATGCCCTTCTCTTTTTCTCTAATATTTCGCTGTCTTAGTATTTGCCAAAAGTGAGTTTACCAATGCCCAAGGGTTTTCCCAGGAACTTGCCTCTGGAGAAATACTGAGATGTCTCAACATGAAGAAAGTATTTGTCACCATGTTAACCTTACAGAGTCTTGGCCTTTGAAGAAAGTAAAGCAGACTTAGCCAGCCTTGAATTCCTAGAGTAACAAAGTTACAATGAAAAGAAATAACCTCAAAGGCTAGAGGTGTGGCTCAAGTGGTAGAACACCTGCCTAGCATTGCAGGGCCTTGAGGTCAATCTCCAGGACCCAATAAGTAAGTAAATAAATAAATGAAAATGCTGTCACCCCTGCCATCACCTTGGCTTTGGTGTCCGTGAGGTTGGGGTGCTCTGGCACAATGACAGCAGTTTGCAGATACCAGGATCGCTGCAGTAGAAATTACAGAGGCTGTTAGACAATGTGGTTTGGGGTTTTCCCTCATCCTGCTCACTGAACTTGTTCAAGAAGCAAGCAGTTGGGCTGGGAAGGTGGCTCAGTGGTAGAGAGCTTGCCTTGCATGCCTGAGGCCCTGGGTTCGATTCCTCAGCACCACATAAGCAAAAAGAAAAAAAAAAGCCAGAAGTGGCGCTGTGGCTCAAGTGGTAGAGCGCTAGCCTTGAGCTGAAGAGCTGAGGGACAGCGCCCAGGCCCAGAGTTCAGGCCCCACGACTGGACCCAAAAAAAAAAAAGAAGCAAGCAGTTACTTATCTTCTGTTTAAAGAAGAACAGAAGCTGGTGCCAGTGGCTTGTATCTGCAATCCTAGCTACTCTCAGAAGCTGAGATCTTAGAATTTCAGTATTCTAAGCCAGCCTGGCCAGAAAGTCCCTGAGATTCTTAGCTCCATTTAATCACTTAAAAACCTGAAAGTGGGGCCGTGAAGGTGGCTCAGTGGTAGAGCACTTGCCTTACGTGCATGAGGCCCTGGGTTCAATTCCTCAGCACCACATAAGCAAAAAGAAAAAAGCTGGAAGTGGCGCTGTGGCTCAAGTGGTAGAGCTCTAGCCTTGAGCTGAAGAACTGAGGGACAGCGCCCACATCCAGAGTTCAGGCCCCACGACTGGACCAAAAAAAAAAAAACCTGAAAGTAAGTGTACCTTGTAGCTCAAGTGGCAGAGCACCAATCTTGAACAGGAATGTTAAGGAACAGTGCCCAGGCCCTGAGTTCAAGGCTCAATACCAACATCACACACACACACACACACACCGTGGAGCAGGATGGTTCCCCAACACTCAGGTACCTTGAAGGCACTAAGTACATCATTTCTCTTACTTGCTAATTGGTTTCCACACCAGACTGATACAGGGCAAGAGCCAAACCTACTCTGAAAAGTTGGCTGCCCAACTTTGTTTCTGGACATGTTTTCATTTTATTTGGTTTTGGTGGCTTGGGCGGAGGGCCTGTGTGTCGTGCAGGGACTCTGTCCCATTGCCGTGCCTCCAGCAGCCAGTCACCCAGCTTCACTCCTCCAGTTACTTCGGATTGTGAATCCTGGAGGTCTACTACCCTGTGACGGGACTGGATTCACAGTGTAGGAGCCACTGATATGCCCCAAAAGTTTATACGTCTTTTGCATTTCAGTCTGCATATGCAAATTCCCTGGAACTGACTTGCTTCCTTTGTATGCCATTTCAGAACCTACTTTGTGAGTAGTTAGCAAAGCAGCTGGCCCTGGCCTTTGCCTTTATGGCAGAAAACTAGTTGAAAACTGAGCCAAGGATGCATTTGTCTTCCTTTTGTATTTTCTGACGCCATCACTGTTAATGTCCCATGTTTGATTGGTGTCAGTCTCCAGAAGCTCTTGCTTGGCCTTTTTTTCCCTCAGTTCCTTCATTTCTTGCACCTGATAGCTAGGGATTCAGGTTATGGTAAAACTATGGTATCACAAGTTTGACTTCCAGATTCTGAACAAAAGGTTGAGAATGCTAAGTCCTCTGCTTCCTGTGAAGGCCGCCCTTGGAGTCTCGGCCTCCATTTCAGGACTCCCTGCAGAGTGGAGCTCCACTTGGGACACTTGTCGGTGCAGACATGTCTGCCGGCTGGCGCATTGTGGACTGGGCACTTTGCCAAATGCTTAGTCTTTGAGAGAACCTACAATACTGCTTCCTTGTCAGAGTCCTGCAGGTAATTGTCCCTGATGGTGTAAGGTAGGAAGCCACATTGCCTTGACCCTGCACAGAATGGGAGAGAGGAAGGGCCTCCTCTTCCCTCTGGGGTGGTGCTCTTCACTCCCTTCTTCATCTTAGAGCCCTCAGTGCATGCCCTCATCCCCTTGCCTGCATCCATGAGGGGCCCTTCAACACACTCCCTTAACTGGGCACCTTAAACTGTTGCTCCTGCTACTGGAGTCCTCAACTCTTTTTTTTTTTTTTTTTGGTTGGTGGTGGGCCTGGGCGCTGTCCCTCAGCTCTTCAGCTCAAGGTGAGTGCTTTACCACTTGAGCCACAGTGCCACTTCCAGTTCTCTGAATGGTTTATTGGCGATAAGAGTCTGATGGACTTTGCTGCCCATGCTGTCTTTGAACCATGATCCTCAGATCTCAGCCTCCTGAGTAGCTAGGATGACAGGCGTGAGTCACCAACACCCAGCTGGAGTCCTCAACTCTTAATTGCCTGTCACCCTGAATAAATGGCTCCTTTCCATACTTCTTCACTTGGTGTAGTTTTGGCCCCACATGAGCCACTTCCAGCCCTGCTTCATCGGCGTTCTCTGTGTCTCTGAACATCTAAGCACAAGAGTCCACATGGTCTGCCGGCGAGACGAGCCTGAAGGACAAGCAGGTTTCCTAACCACACAGGGTGGGAGGCGTTGCCTGACCACTCATCTGGGGAGAGAACGCTTCCGCCCTTGCTCAGCAAACTCATTTTTCCTCGGAAGCTGGGAGCTGGGCACCTCTGGGGACGGGTGGCTATGTGTACAGCTCTCTTTTGTTTTTATTTTTTTTGCCAGTCCTGGGATTTGGAACTCAGGGCCTGAGCGCTGTCCCTAAGCTTCTTTTGCTTAAGACTAGCACTCTACCACTTGAGTCACAGTGCCACTTCCGGCTTTTTCTGTGTATGTGGTGCTAAGGAATCAAACCCAGGACTTCGTGCATGCTAGGCAAGCACTCTACCACTGAGCCACTTTCCCAGGCCTAATCATGGTTTTGAAAGGGCAGATTCTTGGACTGGCTTGGTTCACTAGATACTGTATAAAGGTTAAGGCTGGGGAAAGAAAAGGAGGCAGAGGAAAGGGTCGGCTCTCCAGCATCACTGTGTGGAAGAGCCTTCTTTGAGAACAGCAGTGTGTAGCTCTGTGGCCCTCCAGACAGTGCAGACCATTTGAAGTGTTAAAGATTCTCTTTGAAAAAGCCAGTCCCTGGCCATTAAAAGGGGAGCAAGCACAGATTTAAGAGAAGGGTGCAGAGGAGTTGCTGTGGTTATTATTTCTCATCGATTGGGAAAAGGAGTTCACTTTGCTCAGTAAATAGAGCTTTGATGGATTCCCAGGATTCTTCCAGGAGCTGATCTGCTAAAATGACACTTTTTATTACTGTTCGTACACGCCAATCTCCAGGTGCCGCCGGGATATTACGCCTAAGCTGTGGGCAAACTTGCCAGTCCAGTGGCTCACCCAGTGAGGTGAGGCAGGCAGCGCGGGGCTGGGCGCCAGCTCCGGTGGAAGGGGAGCAAGGCGTGAGGGTGAAGGAGCAGAGGGGCCGGAGGAGCGCGCGGCTGCATGGCCTCTCTGGAGAAAGGGGAAAGGCTTTCCTCAAAGGAAGGCCTCGCTGAGAAGCAGCCAGAGCTCCACCCCAGGCCTCAGGCCTGGATCTTCCCTGGCTGCAGCGGGTGAGGACCTGCCTTCCAAGTAGGGTTAGACCTTTGCTGACCGCTTGTTGGAGGGACTTCTCTAGGCTGTTGACAGTCTTCAGGGACAAACCTTCACACTTCCACACAGAAGTTCAGAAATAATTGAAATTGTATTAGGACGTTTTCTTCCTCATACAAACGTATCTACCTTTTCTTCTTTTCATGAGAAATGGTGCCCCGTTGGTCTCTTCTTCCTTTCTGTCCCCGTTCTCACTATTCATGTATGCAGCCAACATTCATCAAGCACCTGCCGCTTCTCTGACAGCTGGAGACTGAGAAGGGGAAGGCAGGCATTGCCCTGTTGCTGGGCGCTCTGCACGGAAGTCAGAAGTGCTTTCATTCAAGTGCTCGTTGTGACTGTACTTTTGGTAGAGACATCTTCAAGAGTGCACCAAAGTTTAGGCTGTGGCTGGGCGTGCTGGCTTGCTCTGGTTCTGCTCTGTTGCCTGGCAAGGTAAGGATGACCAAGTCCGCTGCTGGCCCAGCAGTGGTGGTTGTGGAGCCAGTCCTGACAGCCCTCTCCCCTCCGCTCTCAGCTCTGCAGTCCTTCATCCGGGCTTATGCCACCTACCCCAGGGAGCTGAAGCACATCTTCTGCATCCGGGCCCTCCACCTTGGGCACGTGGCGAAGAGCTTCGGGCTACGGGACGCCCCCAGAAACCTCAGTGTCTCCACTGTGAAGAAGAGGAAGGCAAACTTAAAAAGGTGAGCTAGCTGAGTGTCCTGACCACGGCTGAGAGTCGGACAGGGGCCATGGATGGCTCCATTGAGAGCCACGGGAGACCATGTGGGAGGCAGGTGAGTCAGCGCCAGCTCCTCCATCTCTGCCCATGGTTGCTAAACACCACCCCTGCCTGTCTGTCACTCAGTACTTAGCATTTAGAATAAGGAAAGACACCTAATCCTTCACAAATTCTTGGGTGTCTCCCCAGGCCCAGGGGTGGTAGGGGTTAGCCAGCAGCAAGACAGGCCCATCGGATTGTCATGTCCCTCAGAGCGGGGGGCTTCAGAAGCACCACCTTGGAAGGCGTCTGAGGCTGGCATGGAGACTTCCGGTGTGTCCCATGGCCTGGTGAGACGGGAGAGGTTCCAGGAGCTGCTGGTGCCCAGGTTTCTGACAGCTGGCTGCCGAGGTCAGCGTGCTGGCCGCAGGCTCAGGGTGGCAAGGGCATGGGTTCTCCTCGTCACCCCCAAAAAGAGCCTGTCTGGAGCTGTCCAGCAGTCTTTGGAGAGAAGAGTCAGAGTAAGGCTGCAGCCCTCCCAGAATGGAGGCTGGACTTAGGAGGCTGGGCTCAGGCCTACTTAGGAGGCTGAGATAAATGTTCTTCACACTTCATTTGTAAAAAGTTTATCTTTTGATTTCTCCCCTGATAGTGCAGAATCAAACAAGGGCACCCTCATTCTCACGCTGTGCCATACCCCCAGCCTCTACAAGCTTTTCTTGGTCTCTTCAAAGACATGGTGTTCCTTTAGCATCAGCTCAGCCTCTGGCCGTAGGCCAGAGACCCCAAGCTTTGGCAGGGAGCTTTGGGGTAGGTGGCCACTGCTGTGTGACCTGGGAGCAGGAGGCCACACTGAGTGTGCGTTCCGGCCGTGATGTCTTTCCTTTCCCTGATTTCATAGGGAGTTCTCGAAGGCCCTGGGTATTAAGCCCTTTCTGCTCACTAGTGACAAGCACCGCACACGGGTGCCACCGCGCCCTGCTATGTGTTTCCACACAGTGTCTGTCCTGCTCATCTGCCGGCAGGTGCTGGGACTCCAGCCACGCTGCTGCCCTGGCACAGGGAGGGGCTGTGTGGGGCGGAGTCTCAGACCCAGGGGACCTGAACTGCAGCCACAGCTCTGCTCTGATGTGAGGAGAGGTCCGTATCTTGTCCAGTGGCCCAGAGCCTCAGTGTCCTCACCTCCAAAAGGGGGAGGAAGCGCATGTCGTCAGCCGTTTCACAGGGTTGTGGAGACCCCCTCGACTGCTCTGGCCACCTGCGGGAAGCAGGATTCTGGATTGGGGAACCCTGCAAAGCTCTCGCAGGTACAAGCACGGCCTGAGTCTACCTCCTCCACTTTCGGACTTTTTAGGGTTGGATTTTTCTCCTCGGAGCAGTGCCTGCCCTGTCCGGGCAGAGGTGGGTGGATGGTTGAGGGCAGCCGCCCCCAGCTCAGGTTCTCCAGGGCGGTGGTGAAGTGCACCCGCCCGCTTCTCTCCCTGGCCCTCGGAGCTGGGGACGGCGCCTTGGCTCCCCTCCCAGGCCCCGAGGCTGCGCCAGCACGGCTGCCCGGCCTTTGGATTTGGTGTTGCCTGCACCTGTCATTGTCTGTGTGGGAAATGTGAGGCCTCCCGGGCCCCGTGTGACGATGGCCTGTCCGGAGAAACCCCGACCGTGCGTCCCGCCCACTCAGGACCTGCGCCTGCCCCGCCTTCGGGCTGCGGAGCACCTGTCTTCCTTCAGTCCCCTCCCCCTCCCCCCAAATGAGTCCAACCCCAATATTTATTCTCAGCAAAGGACCTCGCTTTATGATTTGAAGTTTCATTAGCAAGTGTTAATCCTGGTAGCGGCTCTGGAGACAGAGCCGTCCTGCATCCTGCCCAGGTGCCAGGAGGCAGAGCGGGAGGCAGCCAGGCAAGGGAATTGGGGCGCATTGTCCTTACCTTGAGAAACCACTTGGGAGAGAGCGCCACCTCCGCCTGCTGCCTTCGCCGACCCTGGCTAGCAGATGGGTACCATGACCACTGTACCCTGCGAGCGGGGATTTAACAGGCTTTATCCAGGGAAGAATGGGCTGATTAGCGGATAAAGAGCATGTAAGATGGTATGGGGCAGCCTTTGATGTCTGGCCGGCGCGGCAGGGAGCGGGGCGCTGAGTGACAGCAGTGTGTCACAGGATTACGCCACCGTCACGCTGCTGCTCTCTGTTCTTGCCGTGTCACCTCGCTGGTGCAGCTCCTTTGCTGTCGCGGAGCCCTTCTTCTGAAGGCATTTCCCCTCCCGCCTCCCCGCAGCAGCCCCAAGAGGCAGTGGCCACCTTCTTGTCTGGGGGGAAATTGGGTCCCTCCTGGAGAAGGAAGGGCTTTGCCGCCACTCTGCACATGTGCCCGATGGTTGTGGCCAGAGCGAGCGCAGAAAAACCTGAGTATCCACCGCTCGGCCGGGCTCAAGCGCATGCCAGCTGCTGGGGAAAGAGTCCGCTCAACCCCACGCGCGGCGGAGAGCCTAGCCCTGGTCGCTGCTGTGAGCTGCATCCTCTCTGCAAGCGTCTGTCAAGAAAGAATGGTTTCTCATGCTGGTGCAGTGGATAGAATAGTAGACTACGTTCTCTAAAACTGCTGCGGCCCAGCTGACGGTTCACTGCCTAGACAGTCGCACACCACGTGCAGACCCATGCTATCTGCCCAAAGCCATTCAGCTGCACCCAAGCCTGCCTCCTCTGGCAGGCCCAAACAGGAAGTCCACATGGCTGGTCTGCGTGCAATAACAAGGCCTTTTAGATGGCCTTTACCCATAACTGCTCGGCCACTTCTCAGAACAAGAAAAGAATAGTGAAAGTCTCCAAATGAGGTCTTAATAACCAGCCCTGTGGGCTGTCTAGTCTGCAGTCTGAAGGGAACGGTGTGTGTCTCCCCCCGCACACAGGAACACAGTCAACCCGCTCTGACACTGCACACAGCCTGTCAAGGCAGCCCCCCGCCACCACCTAACATGCACACATACACAGGTACCTGCTACTGCTGGTAAAATATTGAGTGGCCCCCAAGCAACACCCACCACGAACGGCGCTTCCCTCCCGTGAAATGTGGTTACTGTAGACTCAGCAGTTCCCGGGCAGCGCAGGTGGAAACATTTCCCACGATGGCCATCTTCGTAGGAGCCGAGGCGCGGCGCGGCTGCCGTGGAGGGGCGTGAGCTGCGGCCAGGCTGCACTGGCGAGGGGCAGCCCCTCCGCACCACACCTGCGGGAAAGACTCCAGAGTCTAGGATTGCGTCACACAGGGCCTGTAAGCCGCCTGTCTCAGGAATTATCTAGTGCACCCCAGAAGAGGCTTGAACCCCAGCTCCGGCTGTCTCATCTCCAGTGCGGTCTGAGCCTGGAGACAGCCACAGCTTCGTCATTACCACACCCCAGCCTTTTGTCCCCGTTGTCCATTTCCTTCCTTTTTAGAGCAATAAACAGCAACTTTAGTGGTTGACTGTTCTTAGAAGAGATAGAAATGATCTGTGTAAATATTCTCAAACCATCCTGACCAAAATGCTGCCTGGTGATTCCTGATGTGATTGGGGGGGGGGGGGGGGGGACACGGCGGTCTACACCAGGGCCCTCCTCCCTCCCTTGGTACTTCCCAGGGCCCTCCGATTGTGTGCAGTCTGTACTCTGGGCCGCGTCGGGGCGATGGGCTTGTGCAGGTCTGGCCCGGCCAAGTCCTGGCACCTGCAGGGCTTGTGTGCCCAGTGCTGCAAAGTACTTCCTCAGCCTCCCTGCTTCCACAGTCTGAGCCCCGTGTGCAGGCTTCCCTGCATTCACGTGGAACTCACGTGGAAGGGCTCAGGGCAGAGATGCATTGTCTCCCTTGCAGGCCTTTGCTGTGTCCACTACTCTGGGTTCTCGCCCTGGATCACGCAGTCATTGTAATATACTAAGTGCTCTCTGTACAGTGCTCTGTTGAGAAGTGTTCCTGTGGCTCCCTCTTCCCTGCTGTTCACACCCTGCTGTCAGAATGTCTCAGAAGTGAAGTGTGATCCTGTGCACCTTTGGGCAGGTTAGTTGGCCTTTCTGTGCCTGTTTCCCTGTCTCTCAGAGGCCATTATTGGGCTTCTCAGGCGAGCCTGTGGATCAAAGCAGATACTGTGTGTGAACGAACGCATTGTTAGGGGTGTGAAGAAGTGGGGACACTTGACAGCCAGGCCAGGGACCCCGTAGCTGCTGCTTTCCCTGCCCTCCAGCATCCCGGGGACCCCTGGCGTTGGTGGAGTGAGGAGGGTGTGGCGTTACCCACCACCCTAGCACCCTTGCGCTTGTCTGATGAGGAGCGACCTTGAAGGTAGACCCGAGTCCCTGGAAGCCCAGTCAGAAGCCGCAGCTCTCCCTGTAAAGCAATATTCGCATCATTAGGAGCAGCTTGCCTGCCAGTTTTTACGTGGCATTTACAACCTCCCTAATATCACTTAATTAGCTGAAGGCAAGCCTGGAATCTTGCCCACTGTGAAAATTTTCTCCATTTCATTGAGCCAGTTATTCTGCAAAAAACAGATTGGCCAAATGTGAGATCCGAGGCTGGACACGGCCGCTTGGAACGGGAGCGTTGCTTTCCCTGCCGATCTGGGGCACCTGAGCCGGCCCCTGCGCCGCCCAGCGCAGCATGGGCGCGCAAGAAGCAGCCTGCGGCCCCTCCGCTTCCCCGGGGAGCGGTGCTGCCCTGCCCTCCTCTGCCTTACAACCCTACCTGTAGCCCCAGCGTCTCTGCAGGCCCCGAGACGCCTGGCCTTTGCCCACCGCTCAGCTGCTCCCAGCCCCATCCCCAGCTTCCCGGCCCTCCTCTCCCTGTCTTTCCCTTAGTCTTCTCTGACCTCTGACCTGCGCGCACCCTCCCCTCGAGGGCACCTTGGCGGGAACCCCTGTCCGCCTTTGCTCGCTGGATCTCAGCACTCACTCGATGCTCAGGAATTGTCGTGAGTGGAGGAGTAGAAACTGCAAGTGTCCTTAACTCTTGAGAG